GCTAGTAAGTATAAACAAGAGAAATAAAGTTTGTCTCTAAAAAAAGTAAGCTCCTTTACTTTACTTATACTTATACTATACTAACAACGCCTGTCTACCTTAATAGCTAGGTTATACCCTTAGTCTAAGAGGCCTACTTTCTAGGAGTTTAGATAGATTAGAAGCTTAGGTAAAAAGGCTACCTTAATACTATTAAATAAAAGTTTACTACTTAGTAGTTTATACTTATAAGGCTTACTATATTTACGTAAGGATATAGCTTACTATATATAAGAGAGATCTATATAAAAGTAATCTAGAGCGCTATAGTATATAGTATAAGGGTCTAGTACTACCTTTTTAAGTAATAAGCTAAAGGGATTATAAAAGACCTTACTATAAAGTAGTTATAGTACCTTTATATTATTATAAGGGCGTACTAAGCGACTCTTGTTTAGTTTCTTAAGTCTAAAATAGCTACGCCTTTACTTAACCTTTACCTTAACAAGTAAGTAGTAGACTTTAAATAATGTCTTAAATATATAAGTAAGGGTAAACTTATATAGTCTATCTATAATAAGGTAACGACCTGCCTTTAATAATACTAGAGACGCTACTATAATACTACTATAGTACTACCTTATACGTTACTTAAGTATAAGGTAGGCTAAGCTATATAAGTAAAGGACTAGTATAAGGACTCCTTACTAAAAGAGACCTTATAAGAGAACTAAAAGACATAATAGACCTAATATAATAGTTTACTAGTATACTACTAGAGTACTATCCTAGCTACGCTACCTGTCCTTTTAGTAAATACCTTTAAGAAGTACTTACTCTTTTATAAGTATAAGAGCTTACTTTTAACATAAATCTATACTAGTAAGGTTAGGCTTTAGGCCTTCTTTTTTAAACGTAAAGTACTAGAGGTAGCGACCTTCTAGTACCCTTATAGTAAGGCCTTAGAGACAGTAGCTTACCTAGTCCTTAACTACTAGTAGCTAGACTAATAGTAGTAGGCCTTATAGTAAGTACTTTACCTAAGGGCGCTATAGACGTTCCGCGACTTTATAGTAGTAATAAAGAGAGAAAAGAGTGCGCGTATACTAATCTACTAGCTACTATCTACTAGCTAGTTCTTATAGTTTAGGCTAGCTAAGCGCTACCTAACTAAGAAAGAAAGAGAGTAATTCTAGTTAATAGCCGGCGTCCTTCTAGTGTCTTATTAGTGTCTTGTTAGTATGTTTAGTATTATTAGGCTAGAAGGTTAAGTTTTAGTAAGGTAGTAATAAGGTCTTAGCGCCTTAGTAGTACTATAATAGAGTATTTATAAGAGGTAGTACGTAGGTTTTTACCTGGCTTTAGTACGGTTTTACTACGTAATTTATATAGTATAAAGGTTCTGTATATATTAGGTATAGGTAGTAAGAACAATAATAATAATAATAGTATATATCTTGTTTTTTAGTAAAATAAAAGAGGTATTATAATAGCTCTTTCTTGTTTCTTTAATACAGGTTTACTAGAAGGGCTGTTTTACTTTAAGAGAGTTATTAAATTTGTATAGGTTTATTAAGAGAGCCTTTCTTTTCTTAAGTATTATAAGGTAGTCTTACTTTTACTTAAGGCGTTACTCTACCCTTACTTAAGTAATCCTCTTATTTAACTTAGTCTTACTTAAGAAAAGGATTTTTATTAATATTTAGAGAGTTGTACTAGGTTTACTACTATCTACTTATAAAGAGGTATTCTAAAGAGTTACTTAAAAAGAGGCCTACGTCTTATTAAGGTTTATTTGTTATGTCTATATTATTACTTTTTACTCTAATAGTCTATAACCTTTTAGTAAAGAAAAGAGATTAGAATGTTAGGTATATTTTTATAAAGTAAAAGAGATAAGAGTTAATAGATAGTCGTAGTATATTTAAAGGTATATTACTACTTTAACTATAGACTAATCTCTAAACCCTCTTTCTTTTCCTTCTTTACTCTTTATTCTTATACTCTTTAATGCCTACTATTACCTTAGTTATAGTACGTAGTTACCTTATACTTAATTTCTAAGCTATTATAATTTTACGTGTTAGTATACTTAACAAAACCTTACTTACTTATTATAAACATATACTATTACTCTTAAGTCTAAGATAAAGCTATCCTTAAAGGGATAAGTAGGCTTAAAGAAAGGTAATTAGACTAAGTAGGCTACTAGAATTACTAAAGTTAATACTAAAATAGAGTAGCTAAAGTTAGCTTAAAAAGCTTTAGATATAAATATAAAGAAATCTATAGTAAAAGCCTTAAGGACTTCTTCTTTCTTATCTTTTATAATTCTTTTCTAGCTATTACCTTACTTCTTACCTTTACTACCTTCTTCTTACCTCTTAATTAACTTAATAGTAGCTTTAAGTTTACTATTAGCGTTTAATTAGTCGTTAATCTTCTTTTAGATATTCTTTCTTAGTTTTTACTAATTAAGACGTTAGGTTAGTATTAAGTAATAATAGTTATAGTAGTTATAGTAGCTACTATAAACATACTTTAGCTTATTATTATTACTATTACTACTACTACTACCTCTTTTACTAAGTATAGTATCTATAGTTAAGAAAGTACTATAGTATCTAGATCTAGACACTCTAATATCTCTTTAGCTCTTAAGGTTAAGTTTAAACTTATCTAATACCTCTTTAAACGTTATCTTTTCCTTTCTAAAGATCTAGTAACGTACTATTTTAATAAACTAAGGATCTATGTCTTTTAATTTATAAATAAAAGCCTTAATTAGCTTATTACTTAAGACTTTAAGTATATTATTAATAAAGTAGGCTAGGTAGGCAGACTTAAAGCGTTCTACCTAAGCTATAACAGACTATCCTTTTTTAGGTTTAATACTAGTATAGACAAGATCTTTTAATAAGAGATCTTTCTTTATATTATTAGAAAGAGCTACCTTTTTCTAGAGTTTTACTAAGATATTATATACTATCTCTTTAGCGTTAATATACTTAATATAGTCTCTTTTTACTAATCTAGTAATTAGAGAGTGTATATCTCTAATAGATTAGGTTAAACGCTTATACTCTCTAAGGTTTTTATTATAGTATCCTTAGTAAATATAATACTATTCTTTTTTATTATTAGTAAGTTTAGTATATATAACTTTAGATCTGTTAGTAGGTTTACCTTTTATATCTTCTAGATCTAGTAGCTTTAGTTCCTTTAGAATAAGGAGTTCTTCTTTAGTAGTAGCTAGATTAATATATATCTAGACTTTTATACTAAGTACTTTAGATTTTATAACTTTTATCTAGTAATCTTATTCTTTAGATCTATTTAAAACTAGTATATTACTAGGTATATTACTAGTATTAGTTAGTAAAAGTATATAATAAAAGAAGAAGTAAAAGAAGAAGGTAAAGACGACTCTTATTACTAAAGAGTAAAGGGGTAGTTAACGTACTTCTACTAGGTAGTAAGTACTACTAAAACAGTTAAAATTAGGTGTAATTCTACTATTAGTAGTAGTTTTAAATAGCTATTAGTAGAGTTTAGAACTAAGTAATTAAAAGAATACAATTAAGAGTTAGATTAATCCTTTTTAATACTGTTTAAGAGGCTCTATAATCTAAGCGCTTTAATTAGCTAAAAAGTCGTTTTATATTAAACAGGCTTAGTAATCTAAGCGCTAATTAGTTAATAAGTTAATTTATATTAAAATAACTAAATAGCTATTAAAGTAACCTAGGCTTATAACTATTAAATAATTAAGGTTATATTATAGTATAAAGAAAGGATATAACAGGCGAATTTAAGTGTTTTTAGTAGTGTAACAAGTAGATTAAATTAAATTAAATAGAACAAAAGGTAGTCTCTTACTCTATATACTTAAAAAAGGGGTTACTATTTATATATATAGGCGCTATATCTGCTATAAACAGGGTAGTAGTAGTAACATCTTCCTCTATTAAATACCTATACTAGGTACTATAAGAGTTTAATCTAAGTTTTAGTATATATATAGTTCTATAAGAAAGAAAGAAAATAAAACCCTCTTACTAAGGCGCCGTTATATTACTAGTCCTTTTATTATGTCCTTATCTCTTTTATATAAGCCTATAGATATTACTATAGATATAGTACGCCTCTTGTACGCTAGACTACTCTTAGTACTTTACTTTGTTCTTAGATTAGAAATAAGAAAATAATAACTACTTATAGTTACCTTAGTTCTTACTTAGAGGTTATCCTTTATTTATCTATACGCTATTCTTTTGACTCTTAAGATAAAAAAATTCTAATCTTATAAGCCTCTTCCTCTCTTTATATCGTAAATTACTTTTATAACTACTTTAGGTACTGGTTTCGTACGCGTGTTAGGCGTAGCCTTTATTTACTAGCTAGGACGTTACGCGGGCTTGTCCTAATACAGGCCCGGGGCTATCCTAATTGTTGTCCTGATTATTGTTCTGTACTAAATCTAGTTTAGTTCCTGTCGCCTGTTCGTGTGCTAAGGTTCGTGACTTTAGTTTTAATGTTCTTGATTAAGGAGGCTATTTGTTAGGCCTATTCCGGGGCCTTAGCGTTATCGTTACTCGCGTACAGAGTTTTTGCGACGCGTTCGATTTTGTCGACTAACTTTTTAATACTTAGTATCGCTAGAGAGCGTCTGGCGCTAGAGGCCTGCCTATCGGCCTACGATATCACTTTATAAATTTCTGTAGTAATACTAAGTAATTGTCGGCCTAGGTAGATTCTAGGTCCTTCTAGCCTATTTCGACCGTCCCTAGTAGGTTCTCCTAAAGGCACCGGTAGGTACGCTATCGTACGACGATAGAAGTCGAAGAGGGCACTTAAAGGAGTGTTTTAAGGTCCTTTTAATAAGTGTAGTAGCTGTTGTTTTCTAAAAATGCCGCTCCTTAAGGGAGAGATGTTTTTCTATAAACAGGGTATATAAGTACCTAAGTACCTAAATCCTAACAACACTATAAACTATTAAAAACAAGGTACAAGGGATCGATCCCTATATATTAATCAAGGATCAGTTAGTAATCAGGGGAACGTGTTCTGTAACCCGGTAATTGATCCTGCTATTTGACATCTATTCTACGCAGAACTACTAACCAAGATTATAAAACAAGGATCACTACATCCCATTTTGCTCCTTGAACTTGTCCCAACTCTCATTCAGCGTGCTAAACACCGTCGCTGCAATGAGCTTCGTCTCTGTACTCGCATCTTGCGGCAACTGATGTATAGCATTAGCTTTCCGCTCTTCATGCCCAACGTTGCAAGAGAAAGCATATAACGTACCTTATCGGGATGGCACTTGGCAATGGCTTTCATGTAGTTGATCTTCACCTTCCCATTCGTTACCAGTTCGTGCATGCCAACCTTCTTCCACGAGCTGCCCTCCCACATCACCATATCGAGACTGCCGATCAGCGCCCGTAGATTATCCCTCTTCCCATCGCGCCAGCGGGAGATCTTCTCATCTACTTTGTCCGTCAGGGCGAATTTCTCGTCGTCGGCTTTTTCGGCCGCCTTGTTTGCTGCCCGGAGCCTTTCTACCGCTGCAGAATCACCTCCTGCAGGGCCGAGATCTTGGAGTGCTGACCTCGGTTTGGGCGTCGGTCTCGGGGTGATAGTCTTGGGAGCGGAGGGAGGCGGCTTAGGAGCGAGTGCTTTCTCGCATCGCGTACGGCCTTGGATGGCGGTTGCGCCCCCTACTCCACCTTCTACACAGGTTCTCCATACCTCACCTGCTTCCCGCCACTTCTCCATCTGCTCTAGTGCTTCCGCTTTACGCATCAGTGCCTTCCCCCAGAACTCCTTCATCTCTTTCTTTCCACCTCCCTCGCCGGGCCCTAAATCTATAGTCTCATCATCACCATGTGAGGGACCAATCAACTTTAGAGCAGCGTCGGCATCGGCGACCGCTTCACGAGGTACACCAGTCTTGAGGGATGTAAGAGCCCGGTTACAGAGCAGAACTATGGTTATGGGGTGGGATTCCGGGAGGGAGGAGAGAGAAGTGGTGTAGGACTGGTGAGCCGCAGCATAGTCACCTCGTTTGAAGTGGCTAGTTCCTGCAAGGCGGTGTTGGGTTGAGGATTGGAGGGCGATGGAGGAGAGAGATGGAATGTTTCGGGGTGGTGCCTTTGGTCTAATTGGGATTGGCGTTGATGGTTTTGATGTAGCGGGAGTGGTTCGCGGGATTGGACGGGAAGCTGTCTGTGCGGATGTCGGTCGAGACGGCTGTTTTGCTTGGGATGAGGCGGATAGGAGATCTGATTCGGGTGCTTGCTGAGGTTGAGGAGTAACTTTCTTTCGTCGCGCGGGGCTGACATATGCTTGGGCTGACTGTTCTTCAATTGCTTGCTTGCTTAGTCTTGACCTTGGATCTGATGGACCAGTCTGCTGCCATCGCGGGGTAGACGTTGATCTTTCAGGTGGAGGTCTGGGGAGGCTAGGAGATTGGTCACGTGATGTATTTGGGGAGGAAAATGCTGGCTCGGATGCTTTTGCTTTCCTTGGAGGGGGTCGACCACCACCCTCCAACATAAGAGCCTCATCTGTGACTTCCGCAGCAGCAGCTTGTTGTCTTTCTCTATTCCGCGACGCCTGCTCCTGCTCAAGAGCATCACGCATCCATTTTGGTTGACTGGGATCCATTTCGTGCTGAAAGTCTGCAACGGCCTTCTGCACTTTCTTTTGTGATGTCTTCCATAGAGAGTTTGCCGTTTTCAGGAAATTACTACCAACAACAGCTGCGGCTTTGGAGAAATCCACCTCCCCGTTAGCCGGGGACCGATTGTCTGACCGACGAGAAGACTGTGAACTGTCACGCCTTTCTTCTCGCATCCACGCGGGAGTGTTCTCCATCCTCGATGTATCCCGTGACACTTCTCTCCGCTCCCCATTTGATGGCCCATCATTTCGACTTGAATCTCGGCCTTGCTGCTTTTGCTTTGCCTGCCTATGAGCGTCATTCAGAATCCAACCAACAGCAGCTTGAACATCAAGACCAGCACCACTTTCAGTCAAAGCTCGTCGTGATTGTTCAGCCGAGAAGCCCATGTCTACGAGCTCGGCTACCGCTTTATCCCACGGATCAATTGATTCGGGCTCCGGCCTTGGAGATGGTTCCTTCATACCAGGGCTAGGCCGTCTGACTTCTTCTACGGGCTTTCCCAGATCTCCCAAGAAGTCATCATCATCTGCTGTCGTTATTGGCGCAGGCGTAGAACTCTGGGTCTTCATTTGATTCAACCCAAATGGGTCATCATCATCCCCAAAATCTGTTGCCCCAAGTGACCCTAACGGTTGTTCCCAAGCCTGTGGCTTACTCAAATCCGGACCCTTGTTTTCCCCCAAACCCGGCGTGTTATCGCTGCTGCTGCTGATCGAAGGGGGTGGATAGTAGCTTGATTTGTCGACCTTTGTGTCCGCATTGAACGCCGCAAACAAGTCGTCATCTGCGCCATTGGAGCCATTTGCGGGTGGAGATGCAGGTCCTGCAAAATTGGAGCGTAGAGGGTTGGTTGCTGGAGTGCTGCTACGGGAGGTTATCGTTGATGTCGCGGCTTGACTTTGCCCTCCATTCCCCAAACCATCCCAGAACTGCGAGTTCCCAAATTGCGCCTCGTATTGCTTTCGCTTCTCCTCTTCTTTCTTTTTCTTCTCCGCTTGCAGCTTCTCTTGTTGCTCCTGTAGCGTTAAGGTCTGAGTTTTGGAGGAGCCGAAGGACACGAGGTTCGAGAAGCTGTCTGGGGTGGACGATTTGGGGGGCGCAGGAGAGGACTTCAGCACAGCGGAGCTTTGGCCAGATATAGATAGAGGGGTGTTCTGCCTCGATGTCTGAAGGGGAGGAGTTGGGCGCAATGAGGGGTAGTAATTGCCAGTGCCAGCTGGTGCTTTGTTGATCGTGGGTTGCGAACTCGCAGACCAGTCTAGGCCGTTCAAATCGTCCATCTTGCCAAAATCCTAGAAACTTGTCCGGGCAAACAATATTAATAAGGGGTCATAAAGTCATTGAAGGAGTAAAGAGAGTATATTCTAGGTGTGTAAGTTGATCTCGTGAGCTTGCTCTTGACCATAGGATGATGTTGCAGTTGAACTAACGCCTGTCGGTTCGCAAATAGCCGGTTTGGGGCACCGTATTTCTTAGGTACAGATCTCATCCGAAAACACCAAACATTGCTGCTCCGAATAATTGTAGATATCGACTTTGTCGTCGAAAACCCTGCTATCGAATAAATCACGGCGATATTATTCCGAGGCATCTATTTCTTTCCATCCCGATTGATAACAATAATCATTGACTGTAGCTAATAAACTCTCGTCCTGGATGAGCCACATGTTGAAATATTCTCGAGACGTTCTCTGGTATAAAGCGGTTCACGTCTCTTACCTTGACTCGACTCTCAAACATTGGCTCTTTCTCAAGTATATTAACGTCCAATGGAGCGGGCGGTTTGAAATCCCCCTTTGAACTACTATCTCAACATTTCCATAGCTTTCCTCGATCATCTTCTACGGGGTAGTGTCTTCCTATCTTCACCTTTCCCTTGTCTCTCCAAACAACTTACTCTTATAGGCCACCGATTTTCAGGCATGTTGGTCGCCTCCAGTAAAGACCCTTTGACTGCTTTCTCGGGGCTTGAGTTATTAGATCATGACGAGTGTATGCTGCGGTGTCAGTCGGAAGGATGCCGCAGAGTACTGCATCCAAACGCCTGCTCCAGTCCGATTCTTCTCAACCATGCGTTGTGTTCTGATATGCCAGAAGGATCCCGGAGGCTTGGCCCTATATACTTACTGCGAAATGGTGACCACACAGGAATCATACTGTGCCGTTCCTGGGCACTCCGAGCGGTATCCAAGTGCCTACTCTAGCGTCACTGCAACGAAGGCTGTACTGCTGCGGCGCCGAATGAGGGCTTAATGCTTCTTCAGGCCTTGACCCGGCCGAGAAGCTGCTGCGATGGCCGGCGACACCGGGTGTTGGATTACAGAGTACTTTTGTACCTGCCCTTGAGATGGTTGGGCCATGTTGGGATGTGCTGCGGTGGGCTTGCAATGTGAGGGACAAGAATACCGCACGAAGAGGATCCTGCGACGAGTTATATAGTATGGGCAGCGACCGGCAGCTCATGGATTCGACGCCGGAATACTTCCCCGCGAATCGCAGTTGCAGGATGTACGGAGTAAAGGAAACAAACCGATAAAATGATTGGTTTTCCATTCGTCTCCTGAGTTCCCTAGGTACAGTAATAAAGTCTCCTATCGGCGCCCCGGGCATCTGATAAGGGGTCTCCGCGGCTCTCTACCGTAGGCCCGGGGGCCGTAGGGGGCGGACACTCTGTGGAGCGGCGGCTAGAATCTGGATTGAGAGTTCGCCGAAGGTTTACGTTCTTTTACATTCACAACATAGTCTGTACGGATTACAACATACAACTGATCTCCAGCCCGGGCTCTCTCAGTTTCCGGCCCTGAAGGCCCGAGTCCCAGAAGTCGGGGCGCAAAGCGGTATCCAGAAAGACGGTAAGAGGGGAGGGACAGGGGCAGGCAATATTCCCAACACTGACTACAGTAGGGCACATATGTATAGGCCTTATATATGTACCTAGGTATGTGGTCTATCTGAACTTCACATCACGCACAAGAAGCTGCCGCCTCCTCTATCTTGTGGTCGTGAAGTACTTGAATTTACTCCGTAGACATAAGAACCCCCCAGACGTTGAATTCCAAATGTCGAAGCCTCTCCTCTTGTCTCGACTCGAGGGTTCTCGCACAAGGATGCGCGGGCTTTGGTCTGGTACCTGCGTCTCGTCAACCGCTCTTCTTCCCTGTCGCTCTAGGATGTCCTGGGGACTATTGCTTTGTACAGTAATCGTCCGCAACTCCTCATGAGAGCACCAGGCATGGTACGGACCACAGTACTCACTCGTATGTAGCATCAGGGAGAACTCGCGTAGAGATTCATACTCGCAAGTTGCGCCTCACCGAAAGCCCACATCCCGACTCGCGCAACCGCATTGCCCCTGAAGGATACATGTCTTTGCCGTCGTCGTGGAGTTGTATTGTTGTAGTGGCCAGAGCTCTTTTGCACGGGGCCGAGATCGTCCCTCTCGTACGTAGCAGTATAATGTGAAATCTCTCTCCTCCTATCTCTCAACCTCACCCTCCCAACCTCCGCAACCTCGCAAGCGACATCTCTGGCCCCATTGACTTCTCCTCGCAACTCCTGAGCTGCTAGACCTTTCAGTCTGATAGATTACTGTTAGCTTTTCCTCCCCTCCAATCGGTAGGAGAGCCGACGCCCCTCCCGCGAACCTCTGACAAACTTGATCGTTGCTTCGTTCCCGTTCTTATCAATATCAACCTCCAAACCTAACTACGGGATAGACAACACCAACCAGTCCAGACCCATCCATCCATCCCACCCTTCAGCCCTCAAACTCCGGAGGAAGCACCAGCAAGAATGGGGCTCTTCTCCCGTAAAGACAAGTCTTCAAGCAAGCACCCGCCTTCTCTTGCTGCCACCGCTTCCCAATCCTCAACCTCATCCGTGAAGAGTCCTATAACGCCAGGCCTACGAACCATGTCCACTCCGCCCACGATCCCTAAGGTCGACCTTCCCAAGGTCCCAGACCCAAATGTCGACCCCGCCGGCTATCTGCGAAGCATTGACGCGGTGCGCGAGCGCTGCAAGCTGGTCCTGGAGTGCGCGAAGCGCAATGAACTCGAGCATTTCAACGTCGATATGAGCCGCTTCCAGGACACTACGAAGTTTGTGGTTTCGGTTATCAAGGTGCGTTCTATTTCTATTCTGCTTACTTCCGGCTGTGTTACGACAATGGCATGGCTGATGCGTGCGTGATGTGCAGCGCGATTTCGCTCCCGACTACTCCTCCATCCCGCCTCACGGCCGCTGGCAGCACTTCAACGTGGGCGGCCAGGACCGGATTGCAGCCCTGCTCTCCAGCTGGGGCAATGCAGTCGACAACCCCGAACGCTGCCGTCGCCTTCTCGATCTCTTCCTCGTCTCGGTCCTCCTCGATGCGGGTGCCGGAACTTCTTGGACTTACAAGAGCACGGAGAATGGACGGATATATAGGCGCAGTGAGGGCTTGGCGGTTGCGAGTTTCGAGATGTTCAAGAGCGGATTGTTCAGTAGCAACGAGAGCCAGCCGCACCAGGTGGATGCTGACGGGTTGAGACGGTTGACGGTGGAGAAGATGGGGGAGGGTCTGCAGGTTACGGCAGAGAATCCCATTGCTGGACTTGAAGGTCGGACGGGACTGTTGATTAGGTTGGCAGACGCCTTGAATAATACGCAGCTCTTCGGTGCGGATGCTAGACCTGGCAATATGCTTGGTACGTTCCTTTCCTCCCTTGCCCGCATTCCAAGGCTAATCAGTACGAAAAACAGACTATCTCCTCTCCCACCCCAAAACCCTCGCGTCCTCCATTCCCATTGTTCCTCTCCCCATCCTCTGGTCCGTTTTGATGGATGGCCTCGGTCCGATCTGGCCTGCCTCCCGCACCAGCATAGACAACACGTCGCTCGGTGATGCCTGGCCCCTAACCACCCTCACCAAGTCCCTCTCGCCACTCTCACAGCCATGGGAGACCATCGTCCCCTTCCACAAACTCACCCAGTGGCTCTGCTATTCTCTCATGCAACCCATGTCCAAACTCATGCAGATCCACTTCGCCGGCGCGGAACTGATGACGGGTCTCCCAGAATACAGAAATGGCGGCTTGTTCATCGATACGGGTGTCTTGACGCTGAAGAAGGATGACGAGGCGAGAGGATTGGAGGAGTTCCACCGCAATGCGGTGAGGGAGGGGAAGAAAGGTGTAGAGGTTGTCCCGATGTTTACGCCTGATGATGATGTGGTCGTTGAGTGGAGAGCGGTCACAGTAGGGTTTCTGGATCTGCTGTTGGAGGAGGTCAATGCGTCACTGGCGCTGCAAGGGAATGAGAAGTTGACTCTACCGCAGATGTTGGAGGCGGGTAGCTGGAAGGTATGTTGATTCCTCTTTTCCTTCCCCGAGATCTAGGATAAAGACGTGCTAACGATCCAAATAGGGAGGTCGAGAAATGGCCGAGATCTCCCGTCCAAACACCCAATGCCCTCCAATCGCCATCCTCTCCGACGGCACAGTCTTTTAAACTTCTCCTCTACCTTCCCAAGCCGTATAAAGTTCTGTCTTTGCTCCGAAAAGCTTGCCTACACCTAGACCCCAACATGGAAAACCGAAAGAAATATAGAGGGAGAAAAGAGAGAGGGGAAAAAACAGGGAAAATAACAAAAACACACATACATAATAGGAAATTATGCAAGCACGAGTAGACAGATATTCTGAATGGCTGCTTGATAATCGGACTCTATGACAAAAGGACTCGGGACTCGCTATAGTAATTCATGATCTGAGGCCCCGGAGGACGAATCAAAAAAAACGTGGCAGAAGCAGTTGTCTTTGCGGGATTAGCTAGAGCGAGATGAAGTGATAGATACCCTGAGTCTTGAATGGCTAAATAAATTAGCTGCCCTTAATTATGCGTGCGCTCTTTGTGTTTGTTTTTGTAGAGGTACCTTACCTTAGAGTGTGGTATCAATGCCACATTACCTTCACCCGCACCTGAGCTTTCGCCCGATTTCATTCGGCTCGCACATTAGTTCGAGGCAGTCCTCGCATACCTACAGTCCTGTACTCAGCAGCGGTCGTATTTTAAAATTCCTATTCAGCTACGCTTATACATGCACAAACCCCTTATCTAGCTAGGTAGGTCAAGACTGCCACCGCTTTTACTAATAGTTAAAGTTTCTAGCCTATTTAATGATGAATAGTCTTTATTGTCATGTGTACATTCATTGCCTCACGATAATCAAGAAACTAAAGGACAATACCCCAAGTTATAACCCATCTCAACCTCGATCTCGGCAGCCTCCCGGCAAGTCATAGGATGGATGTACAGTTACCATGTTCGGTCAACAGGTCCTGTGGTTTAATGCGTTATTGCCGGGCGTACTGATTGTAGCTGCTTACAGTGGGCGCACGCGGTTTATCAGAAGAGATAGATTATAATGAAATCTATCTATAGTGGTCTTTGTACTAGTATGCAGGTGATTCAGCCTGTTGAAGGGTCCTATTCAGCCTGTTGCAAGGGTATTCTAACACCCGCCCGCCCTCCTTTCAAAACTCAAGCCTGCCAGTCTGTGACTCTGTCAAATAGTATAGTTAGATAGAGTAATAATAGAAATGTTTCTATAACAACTAGAGAACCGTTCCCAAATCATTTCTGTAGGAAATTAACAGGTAGATAGAAAAACATCAAATTCTAAAAGTTCGATATCTTCGAATATCTTCAGAAACGAGCTTTTAAAGGCTTCGAATTCACCATAGATCTTAGCTTAGCGACATCCTACTGTCCCTTCACCCCTTCTACTTTCTCTTATATATTCTCCCGAGTCCCACCATCACTAGCTTTACTACTACTACCACCACCATGAATTTCACGGCTACCAGGCCTACTGGTACTACTTCCGCACCGACTACAACATTAAAAACAACAGCAGTAACCTAGCACAGAGGTACCTAGGTTGCATGACGCGACGTATGCTGGTGAATCAACAAATGACAATGGATTAGCAAATGACAACGAGTTAACAGATGATAGTGAATTAAAAAAATGACAACCATAGCCAACCCCATTGTCCACCATTTCCATGATTCCACCTCATGATAAAATAAAGCGCGAGTGCTTCTGACCGAAGATAGTCCCTACACGTTGATCTGGCAGCACACACACTTTTTAGGACTACTAAAACAATAGCAGATATGTTGACCGGACGATTTAAACATAATAAAATAGGACGTAGAAGTGAAAAAAATACCCTACCAACCCGAGGTACCGCGATCGGATCCACTAGACAACATCCTTCTACCCATTAGGAGCCGAGATTTGCAGGATTCAGTCAGTCAAAGCCACTTGTAGGCTGGTGTCATGATTGCGGCTTGTAGACCTTAGTTGATGCCACAGGCGTTTATAGTTGCGTACTATTCGTTGTAATTATCATAACACACGTCGGCACCCTATTCCCTTAACTGCCATAACACTTGTCAGATATGTGACTCGCGTTCTGCCTCATTGGTAAAATATACGAAGACACCAAATTTGTGTAGATAATATGCCTAGAAAGTGGTGGGGGCATTGCATAAGTTCAAAGGCATCACTAGATGCCCAAAACTTAGAGGATCCAAAACGCGTTCGAAACGGCGTTAATATTCATGGTTTTGAGTAATGCAGATTGTGTTGTATGCGCCTCAGAGGTCGAGTATTGTTATCTGCGATTCTGCCATATCTTCGGTAAGGGTGGACGTAGTTAATAGTATTTTGTAAATCGTTCCTTCCTCTCTTACCTAGAGTCGTTCAAGTGCTAGCTAATGCTGCTCGTATTCCTTGTCCAAAGGGGGTGTTTGTTCGTCGCCGGAGAGTAGATGGAAGAACAGGTGGTCGCTCCAGGTTGTTTTGTGGGGAGGCCGCCGTCAATCTCCCGGCCTTCTAGTCATTGTCCCAGACCGTATATGCTATAGCCGCCGTTTGTGTAGGCGGTAACGATTTGTCCCTAGAATTGCCACAACAGTGCCCTCCTGCTGAAAGTTCAACACGTCGTCAGGGTCTAGCAGAGCTGCAGAAGGGTACTTCCGACGGCTGCCATCGCTCGAGTCTTAACAAGAAGTGGTTCGGATGACAGGACTTGTCCAGTGGACTAGTGGTAAGTTGATTGGAGGTTGAAAAGGTTGAATGGAAAGTTGATTATTGGAGGAGAAGGTTACGAGGAAGAAACTTTTGCGTTGAAAGGGCCTGCGCTCTTATTACTTTAGGCAGTGCGGCTCGGGCCGCCGTATAGGGCTGGCCAATCGGAGACAGGTGCGTGCACAAGCCGCTTTTAGCGTAGGTACAGTAACTGATGTGGGGAGTTGCAGCACGACGGGCCATTATATTTGGTTTATATATTTAGATGTCTCAAATAGGCTACTGCATATTCACTTACCTTACTGAGCTTCCTTCTATTAGTATCCCGAAGAAAAATGCTTCTGGACTGATAGGGACCCGTTCTTGAAGTTACAGGACATTTGAAGGAATCGGGAGGTGAGACGGGAGTTCGATGAGTGCATGGATTCCTATGCACGACGTTACTGTGCTAAGAGAGTTGAGGGCATTTCTAGAATAATGGCGTCGATTGTATCCTGTAGAAGTGTTTAAACCGTAAGAAAGGGTATATCAATAACCCAAAGACAACTAGTTGTTGGAAATTTGATACGAGATGCTTTGAAAGACATGCTTTAGTTATCTGCACTTTTTCCCAGTTATGTGCATGCAACTGAGATGGGGCTGCAATGCACTTGTCTATGAGTTATTTGTGGAATTTATGCTGCAGAAATCCCGTTGGACTAAAATAAAAGTAAACAACTCAGAGAGAAACACCTAGGAGGTTCAACAGACAACTAAGGATTTGCACATCAAGATACAAGGTAGACACAACCGCTGCTTTAGTTGAAGGTAACTGTTGGGTTACTTCTATTTCTAGACACCTAATCAAGCAACATGGCCCCAGCGGAATGTCTCAGTGGTACAGTACCTGTCAGCTCAATAGAATCAATCAGGTCCCAAACGCTTCTCGGCAAGAAGGGCCTTCAGCACGACTTGACTGCAAACGCTCATTGATCCAGTTACATATATCTTGTTATAATTTTAAAGTCTGCCTAGAACTACACTTTATCAAAGACTACAGTGAGGTGGATTGCGGCTTGCCCAATCGCAATGATTGACGAACTTGCCTCTGAACAATGGAATAAGGCGCTTGCGTCTTTTTTGTAGCAACTGAAACCAATGCCCTTGCCTACTTAGTAGTGCAGAGCATTCACATAGCGGTTGTATTTGAGGATTTTAGCCAGTCTGGCCACTGTTGGCAAATCACAGTTCCTGCTCTCTGTCATATCTGAATCTCCAACATAAACTTCTTCATCCTCCAAAGTCTATCGTCAGCCTCTACCAGAAGTGTCACCCATTCGTCAACCAACACATCCAAAAGAAGAATCTGCATCTTTTTTAGTCCGGAAAATAATTCAAGTAAATCAATAAGTCCTAGCATCATGCGATCCTGTAAGCAATAGTCCTATAAAATGGAGACCAAGCTCAGCCTCGTAATGGCAAGCAGAGTTGCTCGCGTTATTAGCCATGTCTCGACTATCCTGTGATAGCCGTAGCAGAAGTCCTTTATATCAAACATATTCTTGCTATAGAGAATAAGGCTACCTTTTTCGTTGATTGTTCGACGGCGCTCTAGGATAGAGGGGAAGATGTGATGTTTACGCCAAGGCATATCTGGGCACCGCTTGCATCTAATCAGACACCATTCAACAGGACTTATGCCATACTTGATCTTCTAGCAGGATGAGTCAGTAGTTATAGATATTGACGCGTATTGCTAGTAGGAAGCAAAGGAAGCTCGCTAGCCCGGGATTCATCGTACTGAAGTTAGGTGTGTTGATTATGTTTTGCACGGCCTTCCCGGGGGGCATTCAACGAACAATTCGTGGAGTAGGTGGATAAAGTGACAGGAGACCATTTTTGTTGGTCAAGATCCTCTGTCTGTAGGGGAATGGTGCGATGAGGTTGCGGTGAATGTGATGTTTCTATTCGCTGATTGTTTTGACAGGAGAATTCTTGTGAGAAGTCTACCTAGCTCAGCAAATAGTTATAAAAATACGTGCAGAATATCTATCAAATATATAGGTACGAAGCCCCATTATGTGAAAGCAGATTTTGAAGTTGTGAGTTTCAGTGAGTGAGAAAGTTGAGAATCAGGTAGCAGCCTGCTTCATGCTTTCATCCCTGCTCAATTGCTTGGCTTTCTGACTAAGAGTAGGATATTTGCTGTCAGCAGGCTGGCAGCCTTGTCCTTTTATCAAACCGATACAACTGAATTGCTTTAGAAATGTTAGTTTATATAATACCCAGTTCTTGAATAACCAGGTTCATCCTTATTGTATCACTGTCTCCTTGTACTCTATCGAGATAGCTGCTTTGCTAGTATTTATTATCGCTTGTGCTGACCGATTTCACCATGTCCAAATACAGATATCAATCTATCGATAGCGCGGCAGGTCAAATCCGGCTCGTCACTCTTTTGCCCTCTCCAGCCTTCGACGCCGATGTTCAAATACGTCTCGATACAGGAATCCTATCCGACGATATGATCCCTGAATATGAAGCATTATCCTATGTTTGGGGCCCACCAGAACACCCGAAGCACATCTACATCGACGGTTCAACCATTGCCGTGACTCGGGCTCTGGCAGAAGCCTTGCCATATCTACGATATAAGGAGCAACCGAGAACACTATGGATCGATGCTATTTGTGTCAACCAGGAAGATTTGGAGGAAAGAGGTAGACAGGTCGAGAAAATGGCAGCACTCTATACATGTGCAAAACGGGTAATTGTCTGGCTTGGACCAGAATCCACAGACAGTGATCTCGGGCTCCAAACTATGGAATCACTAAGTATGAAGATCTCATTTGATATTGAAAAAGACCTTGCTTACCCACCTATCCAAACTGGGGTTCCCTGGACAGTACAAGATCCTATTATTCCCTACGACGAGCAAGCAATCAAAGCAGTCATATCACTTTTGAAGCGCCCATGGTTTGAGCGGCTCTGGATCGTGCAAGAAATCCGGCTAGCCAACAACAAGGCTATAATCCAAGCAGGCCATAAATCTATTCTCTGGGCAAATTTCATCTCTTCGTCCTACTACCTGCGCTCAAAATTTCAAGGCGACAAGGGCGACGGCATCCTATCTTCAGAATTCCTAAAACACTATCTGCACGTACAGCCGCTCGGTCTTGGCAAGCCGCAAGTCTTCGAAGACCTGCAACGCCTCACCTGGGACATCAGGAACACAAAATGCACAGATCCGCGAGATCGCGTGTATGGCATTCTCAGCATGGTGCATAAGTCCAGCGCAGTTGAGCTGCGGCCTGACTATACGAAGTCGGTAGGGGAGGTGTATCAGGAAGTTGTGCTACACATCCTCGAGCGCTCTAAGAACCTGCGCATTCTCGCACGCTGCGAGATGGCTGAGGATGAGGAGAAGCTCAGTAGGATCCCTAGCTGGGCACCCAATTTTGCGGTCCCGTCTCGTTATCAGTTGGCGTTAAGGGATATGAGCGCGGCGGGGGACTCGCTGGCTCATGCGCGATATCTGGGCGATGGAGTACTGGGCGTAACAGGCGTGCGTGTTACGACTGTCGCGAGCATTTACTCCCTAACCAGTGCCTCCGATTCTGAAACCTCGGCGATTAAACTCATCCAACATCTCGTCGCTGCTAGTTTTGAAGCCGCTACAAAGAACCCGGCTTCTGAAAGAGATGAAAAAAGTATCCTCCGTGCCTGCTGCCGCACTTTCAACCGCAACCTCTTCCTTGACTACTGGCTCCCGCCCAAGGGCCGCTATCCCACCTTTCCGGAAGGGCAGAAGGCCCTGGATAATATCCTGAATTGGCGAGAAGGTGAGAGCTTTCAGGGATTGGATCAGAGTACGCAGCGATATATCCGGTATTTCCAGCCCCTGACTGCAGGCCGCGCTTTCTTCATTACAGATGATGGAAACGTTGGGCTCGCACCGGTGTCTGTGAGAATCGGTGATATAATTGTCGTGCTAATAGGAGTCGATTCCCCAATGGTCTTTCGAGATGCTGGAAACGGGGTGTTAAGGGTTGTGGGTGAGGCGTATTTGGATGGGTTCACGACGGGCGAGGCGCTGTTGGGAAATCTTGAGGATGGATGGGTGAGGATGTCGAGATTCGATGAGGAGACTATGGCATACTGGGTGGCCTTTTTGAATATTGTGACTGGAGAGATTCAAATTGAGGACCCAAGATTGGGGACGCTGCCAGACGGGTGGAAAATACAGGGGCATAAGGAGGAGAGGCTGTGGAATTGGTTTGTAAGGGAAGATGATCAGGAGATTGAAAAACAGTCGGAATTTGAGAGATGGGGGAGTGATCCGAGGTTGGCGCCGGAATTCTTGAGGAAGAGAGGAGCGCCGCTTGAGGAATTCATGCTTATCTAGGAGGAAACTAAAGTACGGTGAGCTTTTGATATCTGTTCTGAAATTTGCTTTGTATACATAATGTGCCTCTATTCATTTCATTATGAGCAGATTCTCATTTCATGATTTCACATGACTCTAGTTGTCTAATAGTAAACTCAAACCTCGATTCGCCTGGAAGGTAGTCTCTAAGTTCCTATGCACATATAATTATCATCTCTCCATTAGAATAGCTCTTCCTTCCTACTTGCCAGAGCAAGAAAAAGAAGGCAAGCTTTTGAGTGAAAGAGTAGTAGGAATGCCCTTAGACAAACACGATCCCAGGTAGTATAGTGAACAATCAATGTAGGTATTTAGATTAAAGCCTCTCGCGTAACACACACAGTCGAGTATTTATTTCTTTAAGAACAACCCAGGCCACTAACAACTCTAAACTCCAGAGGCTCAATCAGAGGATCATCGTTCACAATATGCGCCTCTACAAGAAAGCCAATTCTCTGCGGTCACTACTCCTCTAACGCCTTAACTACTACAAGAACTCATTAGTCAGGTCTTTATAGAACTATAGAAGTGAATTGTCTTGAATGCTAGCTTTAAAGACGAGAACAAGTTGAATTCGCAACGAGACAGAGGAGAACAACGAATGTCTGTTGCGAAACTCAGGGTTTCGTTACTTTAATCTTGTTTTACACAACAAGGCCGTAGAGATCAGTGTGTTACTACTTAAGGGTTAAAGCTGGTTAGCTAGCAATTCGGGATACTCCCTAGATAGTTGATGTATAGGTACATATGTATCACCTTCTACAGAGCTATTATTGTAGAAGAAGTGGATTTAAAGACACAATATATCCTGGCTAGGTTTTAGGTAGTCGCTTGTACAGGACACCATTACTCTGTATCTCTGACTACCTACACAATGAACCAGAAGTCATAGTACAGGGGAGGGAACAGGCAGATATAACAATTTTGTATTCACGATTTTGTATTCATAATTTTGTATTCATTTTGTATTCATAATTCTGTTGACAAGATGATTTAGAAGTTTTACCGAGACGTGAATGTGTCACGAGATCTAGGAAGATAGCGCTCCTCTAAGAACTGTTTCCCTAGGTATATAAAGGAGATCTTACTACATCTGCTTTACATTTCTAAACTCAACTAATCAAAAGCAGCAAACAGCTTTAGAAAGTGGAATTGTGCTGAAGGTTATCTAGAGATAGATGTAAAGATATGGTAGAGTCCTGTTCTAGATAGATGTTTATAGATAATAGACTAGTTACTATACTGTCCGAAATATTCTTGATTTACGCTATGATTTTCAGAACTGTCGTCGTTATTCTTCTGTCGCTGTCATTCCTTAACTCATTATCGATTTATTGCTACTATTATTTTAAGCCAAGACTTACCCCTGACTCCCTGAGTCTATTGCTAAGTCAGCCAGAGTATATTGTCAAGCTTCTCGTCCAGATCCCTTGAGAACCGAGCATGGCCACTCCTATCTAGATACAAAATTTGTGAATCCTGACAGCTTTAAATACAGCCATCTGTTACAACTGATGTTTGGCAAGGAACCAGTTTTTGGCTAACATCAAGATGCTCGTTCTCCTTAAAGGGGTACTAGAAGAGAACATCTTTTTGAATTACTGTCATGACTTTCATGACTCTATATAGAGTTGATAATTGTCGCTACTTGATCTATTCTACCTACACTCTAGATGATCGATTTCTTATTCTACGATCTTATAGTCATTTGACAATTTCTCGACTACTTCATCTTTAAGGACTACAGATCAGTGATCGTTTTCACTAAGCTTGACGTCTCGCGAATACCTTATCTTTAAGAACTACAGACCGGCCTACCTACACGATCGTTTTTTAATATTCTTAGTTCACTGCTTTAAGAAGTTTTGTTGTAGTTGTTATTACCGTTATTACTACTGTTATTCTTGTCGTTATTCTTGTTATCGTCTCTACCCTTATAATCGCTACCATTCTTTTATTTATTATCTTTTACAAAATCAACGACAAGTTAATAATCCTACTTAGTCTACACTCTCTACACAACAAAGTAAGGCTAGTAAGACACACTAGATAACATATCCAGATATCTAATTATATACAGCTGCTCGCTCATCCAACCTCTTATCAGGGATGTATGTGAATTAGTTCCTAGTAAGATAGAAGAAAAACAGAAGGACGAGTAACCAGTTTATATAAACCTTTCTCTACACACGTAAGGCATCAGAGAACCGAGACAGAGCACGTGAGGATTTTAGATTTTTTATTCATGATCTTTTGTTAAGGATCGTTTTATAGATTTTAGTAGGTAATTTCTTGGTGTCATTGTCTATGGGTTTTGTTATTAGTTCCCTTGCCTTACATTTGTTACTTTGATTGTTATATGTTATGAACAGAGGATGGAGAATCTTGTGGTAAGAGGAGTTGGAATATTCTTAGAGGGCGGAACCAGACCGCCTATGGGAAGAGTCTGTCTCAGTAGTAGTGGTATGCAAAACGATTGGGTACCCGAATTGATTGCTGCCATTCAAGGATATACGAGATGGTATTAACTTGGTACAGGGGCTTTTATAAGTAAATAAAACAGCAATGGGAAAGAATTGCAATGCCAATTTTATGTCTGACCAGTCTATCAATCATCTAGTCTCAAGATGAATATGCACCGGTAACACTCCTAAACGCCATTGCAGTCAGAGAGCATATCTAACGTTCAAATCACATGTCATCGTTCGCGTATCCTTCCCAATGCCCCTCCTGAGAACCGTTGGAGCTCTTCCTCAGAGACCTAAGTCCACTTTTGCACCGCAGTTCCGCCCTTCTTGAACTCAGGTATTTCACCCAGTACCAGACTCTTGTCCGTATGGTCCTTGTTAGGGAATGTTGTGGCAAGGACCCAGGGTCTCTCATTGCTGCCTGGGTACGCTCGCTCAATGAATGCATACACATCACCAATGGTATGCGTAGTATTGAATCTAGCGGGCAGTCTCGTACCATTAGCCAACTGGATTCTTAACATAACTGTTGGTACTGAAGAGTCGACCTCGACTTCTGGGACAGAAGAGGATGATGCGGCTGGCGCAGCTGCTGATGGAGGAGCGGCGGTGGTGCTAGATCCACCAGGTGTAGGGCTCCCGAGTCTGTGTCCACCGCCAGAGAATGGCTTATAAACCTTTGGAGGAGGCTTGTAATTCTCATCGTGCTTGATCAACTGAACATCAACAGGTTGGTCGGCACGAACGTTCATCAGGTGAAGAGGAGCTCGTCCTTGACGGATCATGGCTAGATCAGCTGCATTCTGAGCGTCGTCGAATCTGCGAAGCGGGCCATCTTCGATGCTAAATCCGTCATTCCAAAGATGGAGAATGCGAGTCTGTGTCGGCAATGGTTCTGGTGTTCGGGCATGAGGGTCGGGGATAACTTGGGAGGGGGTATCGTCGCCGCCGAGGGTCATGCCAGTGCCACGGAATCGGGAAGTTGGAGCTGGAGATGGCTCTCCTCCTGGTCTCGCAGCATTTCTTCGGATAGTCAGTACCTATTAAAGTAGTCTGAACGAGGGGGTACTAACGCTCTAGCCTTCTTGAGGATATCATTGACAACCTTTCTTGGATCATTCCTGTTGGGAGGATCCTGCACGGCCAGACCCGACTTCTCACCACCGGCAAATAGATCCCTAGGCTGCTCACCCGGCTCATAATCATCGTCATCGGAGTCATCGTCGTCGTCGTGTGCGTGCCCGTGGCCGTGGCCCGAGGCAGCAGTTTGGTTTATCGAACTCAGTGTTGCAATTCCACCTCTCCGCGGTGGACGAGATGCCCTGGAGCTGGAGCCAACTGAGGGGATAGCTTGAGGCGCTGGTCTGCCATCAAGAGTTCGTGGTCCGGTGTATGGTTCGGGTTCTTGAGGGTCCTCTGCACCTCCCTGAGCTCCCGCAATGCCTTCTTCTTGAGACGTGTAGTACTCAGCAGCTGCACCAGAGAGATCCCACCGGTTCGCCGCAAGGAACTGCTGGGCCTGGGAAGAAGCGTTAGTCAAGTACATAGCTTTGCGGGGAAGGCGAGGGGCTTATACATCTGAGGGCGAGGCTCCAGTGAGGTCGCAGAACTCCGTAATGAGTTGATCGTGACTGGTATTGTCCGCCATGGTAGCAGTCTGTTTGACGTAGACAGAGACAAGGAAGAGTTCAGGCTCTTGAGGCGATTCTCAATTTTGTCAAGGGACGGATTTGTAGGGAAGAAAGTGAATGGTTTGGTCCTGGGAGACAAAGACAACCAGGCAACTTTGGACGTCACCCCGCTAAGCGGGAGGTTGGAGCTATGGGGGATTCTCTTCTGCCTTAGATACCAGGCATCCACAGCTCAACCGCGGCAGGTGCCGTCCAATATCCAAAGCTTCAACGGCGAACCCTCCTCCTCAAGGCTCAACTCACCTCTTCCCCTCCCAAACCCCTCCCGGAGACTGAAAAAGCTGTCAGTTGCTGTCTGGGCATTCGGGAGCCCACTATGTCTTCCGATGATCGAACCAATCCTTTGACGGAGTCTTCAATGACCATCCCCTCCGACTCCGAGCAGTATTCCGGCAACGATGAACTTTCCCCATCACCTCCATCTTCCTCCAGCTCTCGCCCGATCATCTTATATTCTCCGCCCAGTCTATGGGGAATAATCCGCGGTGCTGCAATCAACCTGCTACTGCCATTTATCAACGGACTCATGCTGGGTTTTGGGGAGTTATTTGCACATGAGGCGGCGTTTAGGTTAGGATGGGGAGGGACAAAGGTAACTCCACTCCCCACATTGGTTTCATGTCACAGTTCAAAATGCGAGGATTGGGGTGCTTCTGGGCGCTGGAATGGAAACCTTGACCGCCTAGGCGGGTTCAGTCTCCGTCGACGTCTTTCCAGCAACTGCACGAGGCTGACACATCTACTACCAGGTCTTCCCACGTTCGCGAGCATCACATCCAGCAGGACCAGGAGTTGAGGTTCGGGAGGACCCATATGAGAGGCGTCGGAGGATGGAGCTGGATGACCTAACAAGGCTGGAATGAGGAGACGTTAAAATACAAGAGAATGGTGTTTGGGAGTTGTACATATGCATCGGGAATGCCCTGTCACACGGAAGATGGACACGCAAAATGCACATAGGGATGGCTCTGAAAAGCTGCTCTCGATCCTGAGACGATGGTTCTCGGGGTCTGATTGTCCGGGGTAGATAGATGAGTTGGAGTTTCACGTCTGAAATAACAATCCAGCCCACAGATACTGGAAATTTTGAGGCCTAATGGTCGAAGCACATTTATTCCAAGAGCAGACCAAGATTGTGATTAGAATCTCTCCAAAGCGTATTCAAGCAGTCAGTGCGAGGCGGCAATGAATGGCCTCCCCGGGCATTGGCTGATGGCGCTAGATGAAGTGGCAGCCTTACGCCGGGCCTGCCTTGCCTTACCTTACGCGATTTGGGCCTCAAAATATTTTGCGACGTTGTTGCGGCTTCAACACCACAAAATGCTTCCCAGCAGAGGACTCCGTTGGTCAAGCCAGACCGTAGGCATAGGCCGGCGGCGTCTGGAACAGGTCTCTACCAGACACGTATGGGCTCCCGTCTCTAGAATCTCGCCAATTGCTGACTCGTCCAGTTCTCCTCCTCCATTGTACAAAATGCCCCCATTAGATCCAATCCGCTCCTTTCCGAGAGAGGCGCATCGACTTCAAGAATATACACAAAATCTCCCTTCTCGAGAACGAATCTTTTAATACGAAATGGGGCGGGCATTCGCTTTGCTTCAACCACTCCTCTCGCTACCTCACCCGCGGCCTCCCCAGCTACCCCGGATCCAAGTCAAGCTGTCAGCTCTTCTGCAGCAGTTCCGGCAGCTCCAGCACCTCCAGCTGAAGTTGTCCCCTCTTCCATAGATAATGCTATAGACTTTACCACCGGCTCACTGTACGAGATCCCCGAACACATCGGCTACTTGAAATCCCTTGGGCTGGATTATGGCTGGGGTCCGACTGCTTGTATCGAATGGCTTCTCGAACATGTCCACATCTTCGCAGGAACACCGTGGTGGGTCTCAATCTCACTCACCGCGATCATTATCCGCGCAATTCTATTCAAGCCCTACATCGATGCGGCGGATAACGCAGCCAGGATGCAAGCTGTCCAGCCGATCACGCAACCTCTTACGAAACAGATGACGGCGGTTAGAGGGGACACGACCGCAGTTCTTCAGATCAGGTCTGAGATTCAAGCAATCCATAGGAGGGCGGGCATCAAGATGTGGAAGAGTCTTGTGCCAATGACACAGATGGTTGCCGGTTACGGAACGTTCGTACTTCTGAGAGCGATGGGAAAATTGCCAGTACCCGGGTTGGAGACGGGCGGTGCTCTCTGGTTCCACAACTTGACGATTCCCGATCCCTTTTTCATCATGCCGGCTGCTACGGCTTTTGTTCTGCACATGGTCCTGAAGGTACGTTGATCCTCTCAATAAATGGCTCTACGTCCCTGCTACGTAATGGTAGCCTGTACTGACGGTGCTACAGGGAGGTGGAGAAACAGCGGCGACAACCATGTCACCCCAAGCTATGAAGGTCATGACATACGTCTTCCCATCGATAACATTCCTCTTCACCGCCTTCATGCCAGCTGCGCTTCAGGTCTCCTTCTTTGTGTCCGGTCTTCTCGCGTTCGGTCAGGCCCGGCTCTTTAGATTGCCCGCCTTCCGCTCCTACTTCAACATGTACCCCTTGACCACCCCCGGGGCGGCAAAGCCAACCCCATACAAAGGAACGATGAAGGTTCGAGCGCCCATGACCCAAGCCGAGCTCAACCGCACGTACCAGGGAAGCCGCAGCGTGACAACGGCGAGCCACGAAATCAAAGCCGAGCAACCAGCTCCTCAGGCCCCGGGCAAAGAGAACCCGATCAAGAAGTTTGTGGTCAGCACGGTTCAGGGGACAGTCAAGGACATCTCGGGTACGGTCAAGGATGTCACACAGAGCGCCAAGGACCTGCTCGGGAAGGGCAAGGAGGGTCTGAAGGAGAGACAGTTGAAGAGCGAACGGGCGGCGGCGGCGGCGTACGAGGAGAAGAGACAGAAGGAAATCCGACAAGAGCGGTACGAGCGCGAGCAGCAGCGGAGAGCGGAGCGGGAGGCTAGACGGATGAGAGATGAGGAGTCGTGACGAGTCGTGCGTTGAAAATAAAGCTCTCTTGTATAAATAGAAAAAAATTCCTGAAATCGAGGAGGAGGATCCATCTCTTGTAAATCACCAACTTCCCCTATATCTGGGCAGCTCAAATAGCATTTGTTTCGTTCTTTTGCATACCGCCGTGCGATTCTTGCAAAAAAAAAAAGTAACAAATTGATCAAAGATAAAATACAAACAAAATAACCAAGACCATCAGACCAAAAAAATAAAAAAATTCAGATGACATCTAGCAATACCCTGTTTCGATCAGGGGACCTCCGGGTTATGAGCCCGGCGCGCTTCCTCTGCGCTATATTGCTCTTATTCTTGTTTCTTCGGTCGTCCAATCATTGGGTATATACCCCTGTCATCCTACTTCCTCAAAAAGATTTTCTTAGATAAAAATCAAGAAAGATTAAAAGAAAAAAAGAGGCTTGAGTTAATAATAAAAACAAAAGGTAATCGAACAAAAAAGAATTGTAGGATAGATAGCAATACCTTGTTTCGATCAAGGGACCTCCGGGTTATGAGCCCGGCGCGCTTCCTCTGCGCTATATTGCTGCTTTTTTGATTGGTGGATGGGAGCAAGAGCGGTATGAGGATATTTGTATGTACCTTACCTTTAGGTAGGTATGGTTATGAAAAGCAGATTGAATTGATATTCTTGTTCTTTGTTGTCAAAGGGAAACATAACCGGAAGCAAGCATGGAAAGGATATTTAGGTAATTAAGAAGTAAAGAATTGGGATGGTCAGAGTGAGCATCGGTTAGGTAGGTATCTAAGGCAAGGTAAGGTAGATGACCGGGGAGGAGTGTATTTTAGGAGGGGCTGTGGTCTTGGGAATAATACCTAAGCTGCAGTGGCCCTGTATCATGTCTATTTTTGATGGCTTTTGAATGACCTTTTTCTAGATCTACTTGTATAAAATCAGATGAATTAAATTGGTTTTGTTGTATCGTATCTTAGATACCAACAAGAAAAGAGAAGGTAGGAAATTGGGCGCATGGGCGGGAATGTATCTATCTATCGGGCTTGTATGGCAGGCAGGGGTGAAAATTGAAAAGGTGAGCCATGTTGGAGATATCTGTGGATTATGGACTTTGGATTTTGGATGTTAGATGTAGATAGATGGTAAGGCAAAATGGAGAGAAAGCAACAGAGAATAGGTAGGTACCTACCTTACCTTAGGTAGGTTGTGGTTTTGGGTTTAGAGGCAGCGAGGAGAGGAAAAGAGATGGCTGGGAAGCGGTGTTTCAGGACAGGAAAGAGGGATAGACGATAGCAGAGACATACAATAAAATAGACTCGACTGACCTGACATCATATCTGGCCCTCTTGAAGATCGCGTGTCACGATTCGGCCTCCAGACGAACACCATACTCATCTGTCTGTACTTGTACAGACATCTGCCATGTATTCCTCACGTTCTCAACTGACACTGCAACGACCGGGTTCGCGGGACCAAGCGAAAGGAAGGGATCCATCCGTCGTCGATAATTGGTTCCCCTGGACGTCTCTGATTGTTTCAGTGGCCCCGCGCTACTTGTCGAGTGGTCGTAGATAGCGATGCATCATGAATCGCTTCCATGGCAAACCCTGAGTCTCGGGCGCGAGAAAGGGGGGGCGATGCTCCGTGTAATATCAGAACTCCGAACTCTCTGATTCAGATGTATGTCATATGTACAGAGAATTCCAGGGCATGTTACTCTGCATAGTTGTGCTTGTATGACATCCCAGGAGGAAGGATCAGGGTCATGTCTCAGCTGAGGGCTTAGCAGGGCGTTGGGCTATTCCTGGTGTGCAAGGAACATCGTGAACCTCTCTCTCTCTTGTGTCTCCCTGTCTCCCTTTCTTCCTCTTCTTTCCCTTCTCTTGTCTTTCTCTCTCTCTTCCGCCTTCTCTTCCTTCACCACTCATCGTCGCTCTCTGCTTCTCTTCCGTCTTTGCTTGCCTCGCTTTTGCAGGTGTCGCTAGCTGACATCCATTCCTTTCTGAACATACACTCCTTTCTCGACGACGTGCCTAGGTCGCGATTTTCTCCTTCGTTTCGCTGCTAAGATTGCTGGGAGGGGCTGGACAGTCAACAGTCAACAGTCAACAATCGACAGTCGTACACAGAAGAATTAGAGCCAGGAACAGACACCTCTATCGCACCCACTTGGATATGCAACCAGTGACTACTGAGTCCTGCGATATTTGGAATTCAGAACTGCTATAAGAGAAGGGAATTGCGAAACAAGCATTCTATCTGTCGTGGTCATCAAAGGAGGATCTGTGGAGGATCTGTGGTGGTTGGTTTACAAAAGAGGTGGACAACGGCAGTGCTATCATTTGATTTCTACAGCCAGGGCAAAAAGTACTGGCAGGACTCACTTCGTCTAAACCGGGTCACATCGCTTGCGCGCGCTGGAAAGCCTCGCAGTGAATACGGCTCGCGTGGTGGGGGATTTCTTCTCGTCTTGAGAGATCGCGCTCCTCATCTTCGCCTACCCGTCCCCTCCTCACCCACAACAACAACACGCACCCTCATTTCTCACCACCAACTCCTTACTCTCCCTTCTTCGTCCTCGACTTTGTCCCTCTTTTACAGCAATCAAACCCCCTTTCTCTCGTCTGGTTTACAACCAAATCCACCCCTCTGAACTGCCCGGCATGCAGTTCTCTACTTCTCCTCTGGCCGTCAAGGCTCTCCTTGTCCTTCTCTTTGCCCTCAACGCCTCTGCCTTTTGGCGCATGCCCTGCATGTCCCGCTCGGGTTTGGCACGTCTTGATCCTTTGATCTCCCCTGGTACTACTTCTCAGCATGTTCATGCTATCCATGGTTCTTCTGGTGAGTCCCCTTTCTGTCCCCTTTCTGCCCCGCGTCTACCCCGCATCCACCCTCCACAGCAAGCTCTGGGGCTGCTCAGGAGTTTCTTTTGTCAGATCGATCTCTACAGGCTGTTGGGCATCTAGATGATCAGATCAATGCTCCATGAGCTAGATATCTAGTATCTGTTGTAGCTGATTACTGTATCCATCCCATTCCCCTCTAACACGATATGTCGCGTCTATATTCATTCGATCTACGCGCTGTCTAACATTACATCATCACACCAACTCATTGATCTATCTTGCTAATCACAAATCTCAGGTTTCTCTGAGAGTTCTGGCCATGCTGAGCTTGTCGCTGGCAACTGTACATCCTGCCAAGTCTCCCAGGACAAATCTGCATACTGGACCCCTGCTCTCTACTTCCAGCACGCTTCAACTGGCCAGTACGAGCTTGTTCAGCAGGTTGGCGGCATGCTTGCGTAAGTTTCTTTCCTTTGTTTACACCCTGGCACTTCAGAGGCTTGAAGCGCCAATCGTCCCAAGTCTCTGGCGCCCATGCTCCCTTGCTGGCTTCTGTGCTACATACAGATTAAAACTTAAGACGCGTCGCGAGCAAGAGCACTTATCTCCAGTATATTATTGACATCTACTAACACGTACTAGATACTATCTTCTGTACCCTAATGCTGGCGAGACTACTGTCGAAGCCTTCCCTGCAGGATTCCAGATGATTGCGGGCGACACCTTCCAACGTAACTTCTCATACCCGGTCCCTGATATCCCAAAGTCCAACTGGGACCAGGCTCCATACAATACCCAGGCCTTCCTTCAACAAGCTGCCCTTGGATTCAACTGCCTCAATTATGCAAAGCAGGCTGAAGGGTCCCTCTACCGCCACTTCTTGCCAGATAAAGCTTACCTGGATGCCAATTGTATTGATGGTGTCCGCTTTGAGCTGATGTTTCCAAGCTGCTGGAATGGCTCTCTTGATTCTACCGACCATAAATCTCACGTCGCTTATCCATCTGAGGTTATGACCGGCGATTGTCCCCCAGAGTACCCAAAGCGTCTCGTGTCTCTCTTCTATGAGACTATCTGGAACACTTATGAATTTGTCGGTCAGGATGGTCAATTCGTCATCTCTAATGGTGACCCTACTGGTAAGCCCTCCCTGACTGTTCAACTTCATCGCTAACATCAACAGGTTACGGTTACCACGGTGATTTCATCATGGGCTGGGATGAGGACTTCCTCCAAGAGGCAGTCAACACATGCACGAACCTCTCTGGCGAGATCCAAGACTGCCCACTCTTTGATATCCAGGATAGCGATGTCTGGGACACTTGTAGCTTTGCTGAACCAGCTGCCCTGGCCTCTGACAATGTTCTCGGTCCTGTCGGTGCCTTGCCCGGCAACGTACCTATCGCACCTGGCCCAGCTTATGCCATGTCCATCGATCTTGCTGATGCCCCACCACATCCTTCTGTGTCGCACCCCGCCACAACCTCTAGCGCAGCTATCTCCGTCGCGACATCCAACCCTGTCCCGACACTCAGCTACTCCTCTGGTCTGAGCCTTGGAACGTCAGACACATACATTCCTGGTGCGATCTTCGCGGCCGCCACGAAGGAGGTCTCCTTGCCAACCACTTTCTCCACCTCATCCACCACATCCTCGGCCCCTCCCCCCAGCACCTCGTCTCCCACCACCACATCCGCTCCGACCTCGATCCCCACAACTTCGCCCTCCTTCATCGCAACCCAATACATGACCACCGGCCAAGTCGTCGAGGAGCTCCTCTGGGTCGAAGAACTCGTCACCGTCACCGTGCCAGCTACGACCACTGTGCGTTCCGAAGGCCGCAGTCATATTCATAAGCATCGGCACGTCCGCCGCCACCTCTGAATATAACATATTTGATATATTCATGTGTGCACCGGCTCGGATCGGATTTTTCACTTCTCTTGTCGTTTACTTTTCGTGTGCTTTTTATTTGATGGAGGGATGGATACGCATGGATGGATATGGATGGAATGCATGAGCCGACCGCAAGGAAGGCAAAGTAGTAGTCAATCATGCATGGAGGGCATAAGCTGGCATAGGACAGAAATGGTATACGTGAAAGCGATAGGCAGGTCCTATCTCATCCGTATTCAGCAAAAGTAGCTAGCTATTAGTTGCTTAAGTTAGGTAGCTATGCACTCAAATCAATGAATGGTATGGAATCAAATCAAGGTTTTGATCGTCTCTATATATAAAAGTCCCTCGTCAATCAGAAAGTACAACCGAATTCTCGCTTTCTCATAGCCACAATTCTTCTAACACCATACAAAACTCTTCCTATGTTCCGGATTTTCTAAGTCAACAAAGAACCTTTCGACGGATCGAGCGTCAAAGAAGTTAGGTCCAAAGAGGGTGGGCCCTTTCAAAGTTACCTCCTACTTACTTCGGAGCTCCTGGGCAAGACCATCAGGCATATCGAAAGTTTAACGCCCCCCTAACCCCACACCTTATAAGGCAAACACGATAAGGCCAGAAAGGGAAAGACCCCAAAGGTCTCTGATTACCTTAAACGAAATCGACGCCGACGACCTGACCATTGCTTGGGAACCACAAGGCAGATGGCACCGTGTTCACGGCGAGCCTTCCCGGCAATCCTAGGCTATTGGCACGAAGCAACACTGCACCCTGGGTGGGTTGGAATTTTTTTCTCTTTTGGGATGGTGAAGAGGTTTCTAAAGTGAGGATTTTAATATATTATTCAATGTTCAACTTCCCTGACAACAATGTATTTATCTGACAACGACAAATTCCTTCTCACAACGATAAAAGTTCACTCACTAATTGAATGCACTTCGGGGTGCTCTCAAAGATTGAATTCTAGAATCTCTCTCTCATGGCGTTCCAAGTATTCCCCGTAATCCTTGGGTTTAACATCAAAGAACCTAGGTAGGTATCTAATAGATTCTTTCTTTCACGCTGATGCCACCTGGAATATCTCTATAACCCGCCAGAGCATCTCGCGATAGTTTGTAGTAGAACATGCGCAAAATTGCATACATCTAGGGTACCTTATATATAGGTTGTCTCGACTATTCCGTAGGTACCTACCCCATGGGGTAGTTGGGACCTGCATATAAAATGGGGACCCAGCTTACTGTCCCATTCTAACCACATGCATCACCAAACCCCAACACCGACAAAGGCATCTTGATTCTTGCGCACATCTTCTGGTAAGTAGATGATCTATCTACCTATTAATTTGTTTCTAATACATTTAAAAGGGCGTAGAAAGAAAAGGCAGGGCACAAACCATACCCGATACCCTCAGTTCACCAGCTAGCTGCCTTGTGACCGCCAACCATGCAATAATCTTCGACCTTTTTTAACCTCGTCGTCTGTGGTGCTGATGATGATGACAAGGGAGATGGACATAATTTCGCAAATTTCATGGGGTATCAGCAAGTTTCCCTACGACAAGAAAGACGGGGGTACATTCCTGTCATGCTTTCCGTTTGACGAACACTTCGAGTACCTTGGCAAAAACAACATCGAAGATATCAAGTTTGTGGATTACTCGAAAGCGGTGATCCAATCTTGACTTTCTCTCGGGCTCAGTTAGCCAAGCAGGAAGAAGGGTGGGAGGATGTAAAACCAGACAAACTCAGAGAGAGGGCGGTTACCTGGATTTTGGAAACGGCAAAGAAAAGCAAAGCCTGGAGGCGTGGTAAGCAAGACGCAATCACGCTCACTTATCGATCTAGAAGTATGTATCTAAGTGAGTTCCCCCGACTGGGGTGTGCAGATCCCTCTATCTCTAACCCAGGCAAAGCCACTACACCCAGGGCATGCCCGCGGGAGCATTTCATGGGCATCAAGAAACGATTGATGAGTTGGCTAGAAGCTGATCAAAAACGTTCAATCAGGCGGAAAAAGCGTTGCCGTTGAATACGTCGAAAAAACCAGCTCCTGGATACGTCCATCAGATCAAACACGCCTTCGAATTCGGATATAGCATCACACATGTGGCATTACTCGCACCATGCCATATACCATCTCTAGCACACATACGGTGATACCGAAGATCCGCACTCTTATCATCGCACTAGAGGCCGTTCTTACTGTAGTCTTTTGGGCTATGGCCCCCTCCAAGAAGGAGTGTGCCCGTGGAATCTAGATACATTCGAGTGGCTAGGCCTTGGGACGCACTCACTACTCCGAGAATTTATCCGATATACTAAGGGGGAAATAGATCTTACGCCTTAACAACTTGAAGACATGGATCGGATTATTGAGGAGAAGAACCGAAAGTACTAAACTGCATACTATCGAGCTCTACGAGAAAACCCTACCCCAAAATACAGAGCGCGCCAAAAAGCAAGCAACATCTCTATTGCGCAGTTTGCGATGTGTCATGCCGTGATGCGGCAAAGTGAGTATCCACCGATACGGCCCATGCTCTGGACATACATAATTCACGTTTCTAGAGTCAGGTTCCTTGTTGAATTGGCAATAGTTGACAAATGGATGACAATAGAAACAGTATAATTTTGGGAACTTAGAAAACATCCTTTTGATGCTAGTGAAAGCATCTAAAGCTTTAGATGCTAGTGACCGTGTTAGATCAGTAAGTAAGGAAGGAGCGAAGCTACTTGCTTCCTACTATAGTACCCTCACTCCTTCTATCTTTTATCGGCATGGCTATAACTATTTCTCCTCCGCTAAGAGGATCCTCTATTTCTTATCATTATCCTCTACTAACAACTACTATCAGGCTTTACATTAAGGACCTTGATTCTTTATTATAGAGTCGCTTACAGAAGAGTTCCTTAACGTACTAAAAGGCTACAACTCTAATGATGATACTAAAGCTTAGGAGATCTAGCCTCGTCCCCTTTACAAGTAAGGCGTAGAGAGTATTATCGAGATCTTTAAACTCGTAATAGACAATAGAGTAGCATTAAAGAAATGACTTCGAAACTAAGAATAGACAGCTATAGCTCTAGGCACGTAGGACGTAGGATAGCGATAGCTAAATCGTTTATATGCTTTTCTAAAGACCCTAAGCGTAAAGTAAGTCATTCTTGTTAACATAGGGCTTTTAGGTGACTTTGTCTAGTAACTAACACCTTTACCTTCTTCCTAGAGAAGGAGAATGTCCTACAGGTAAACATATCTATCGCTTTATCGATTCGATAAGTAAGATTATTACCTCTAAGTATCGAGACAAACCTCGTCTATCTCTATCAACTATCAAAACTAGTATAAAGACCCTTGTTACCGTCCTCGTGTACACGTATAAAGACTTTAAGATGTCTGCATACTGGGTGGCCAAGTGCAAGTCAGTAAATGACAATGGGAAGAGTAAATGACAATGGGAGGAATAAATGACAACAGGAAATATTGATTTGAAACTGAGGCCGTCGCGGAAGAATTTGGTCCTGCGGCGCGCATTACTGCCTTCTGAAGTAGCTCAGAGCTTACCTCAGGGGATACAGTCCGTAGCACGGCTTTTGCGGTGTTCACGTCGTCTGGCGTAACCAGGCCTTGGACAGCTTGGAAGCGCTCATTGTTTATAGTATCCTCGCCGTGCTTAGCTTTGAAAAAAAAAAGGGGGGGCGGCGGGGGGGCTTTACGTACCGGGCGTTATGCTGTTTTTCGAAAAGCGTTGTCAGAAAAGAAACAGAAGAGAGTTTAAGAAAGCAAGAAAATCAAATCAGAAGGAGCACCAACACCAGGAACATTAATAGAAGCTTTACACATCGGAGGCGGAACGACGAAGATGGGGAGCTCAGACATCGAGGAAGGCCATCTGCGGACCAAGCACGGGGGGTACAAGCTGTAAATTAAACAGATAGATAATCCCATCTTTTTATTTCATCATTCGGGTCTAGGTCATCAAGAGGCAGGGAACAACTACATCTCTACCTTAGGTAGCTTAGCATGCTCATGCTTGAAATTGGTTGGAGAGAAAAAAAGGATGTAGCCATGTGTTGCTTACGTCGGAAAGATGGATGCTATAGCACGATATCCGATATAAGCGTCGAAGTCTGTTTAGTTACCTTCTAGAATTAGATAATTTCGAAGCTGTTAGCACGATACTTGTATAGTATGGTCGAAAACCCAAGCTCAAGATGTATCTATGCATAAAATCATCGTTTATTCACTACCTGCCTGAACTCCTGGGTATTTTTTTCCGCCAACGCCAGCCATTATCCACCATTCAAATCATCCATCGCCAGTTATACATCTATGCAGCAGCCTCAGCTGTAGCTCCCCGATCCGCACCCTTCCTAGCCGGCGAATCCAATTCCTCAAACTGCTCGCGAGCAATGAAGCAGTTCTCCATCGCACAATTGAATCTCTCCTCACCAGGGGGAAGGACCACTGCCAAGTATGTATTGGTGGTGAACTTGACGACAAACATGGAAAAGACGTTGAGTTTAAGTTCGAAGAGGGAGAACTGCTCGGCTGACTTCGGAGTACCGGTGTAGCGACTGGTACTCTGCTTGAAGTTTTTGATGATGTTGCTGAGACGTTCAAAGCGGTCGGTAGTGGGGTTCATAGCACCAACCTCCGAGCACCAGCTAGAAACAACCAGGAAGGACGATCGTTCGAACAGCAGAACCTCCTCTGCCATTATAATCTTGCCCAACGAGCCTAGATGCTTCTCGATCTGATGCAGGTTCGGAACCAGATCGTGAATGATCTCCGCCCAAGCCTTGTATAGAGATTGGTCCCAGATGGAAGTAGCAAACGGAATGGGGTTGAAGGAATCGGACTTGGATTGGATGAGGGAGACGCGATCATTATAGATTTCCTCACGCTGATTCGGCACGACGAGATCCATCTTATGAACAAGGATGTAGACGCCTGCGGTTGGCGAGAATTGGCTAAGGGCACCGATGATAGAGCGGTAGGTGAGAAGATCGCGGTCAAAGTCTCGGGATTCGATATCGAAGACGTAGATGAGGACACCGACGTTGGAGAAGACGTGCTGGCGTTGCTGAGAGAGGTAATTCTCCATAAAGGCATCTTGACTGGGAGATGTTAGCTGAGACCTGGAGCCGGACATAAAAATGTGGGATTGAAACGTGTAGATTGGCTAATTGGCGCAGAACAGAGCAGCATGGGGCATTCTCGACCCGTTTGAAGCTGTAGACACCGTCCGAGATCTGAGAAGAGCCGGCAATACAGCGCTATCAAGCATTGTCGTGGGGTAAGGCTGGTTTTTGAGGCTGTAGATTGAGAGGAGGAAATTGAATGCTCACCCTCCGCAGTCCCAGAGATTCAGAGTCAGATTGCCGAGGAACTTGACATGGCTGAGGTCAACATCAATCGTAGCTCCCAATCGCCGGGTGTCCTTCGCAACATAGTTGCTGAAGATGATGCTTCGCATGGAGCTTTTGCCCGATCCCGATTTGCCCATCAAGAGGACCTTCTTCTTCTTTTGCTTGCGGGGCTCGGAGACAGGTGAGACAGCGGGCTCATCCTGAATGCTTAGATTGTTCATCTGCTCCATGTTGGCAGCTTGCAGGTCGTTGTGAGTTGAGGTTGTAGAGGAGGATTTGTCGCTTTCGGACGAGAAGGTCATCTGGCTGAGGGCGACGCCGTCGAAAATGAAGGTAGGCTTTGTCATGATTGGCGGCTTAACCGAGCGGCGATAACAAGAAGGAAGGCGGTGATAGGGAAGGTCGGCGGTGTGAGATAAGGTTGTGGTTCTGCCGGCAACTCGCTTAAGCTACCTTGTACCGTACAGAGTAAACATTCACTTCACGCTCTCATTGATTCACTTCTTTCGACGCTGACATTTTCCCATGAACCTACAGTATCTGCATCGGGAACTAAGCCTTGATATTATTTTAGCATCGATCAGTTGTTTGTGCCCTTACTGGAATCAATCCATTACTTCAGAGAGCAGCTGAAAGAAGGGTGACATCGATTGTTCTCGAGCTTGCTCCTGGTCCATAGCGACATGCGTGCCATTCTCTCACTGGTGGCTCGAACAGCTTCCAGGGGTATTGAATACTGCAGGTGAATGATGACACGCCTTTTTATTCATATGGGTATATCAGAACAAAGATGGGCGGAATCGACTGAGGAATGTGGAATGTGCCTAGGAATGCGGCGTTGCGACCGGCATTTGAATGCTTGCTCCACAAAACAATACATTCTCGATAATGGAACCCAGTCAATACATTGACGCTGATTATCCCAAGCAGAATGGATAGCAGAATGGATAGCGGATTGCGATTTTGGCTTCTGGGAGATCGGCGGAGAAACACGCAGAAGCCAACGGGTTTGGCTCTACAACCTATAAAGTTCTCCAAATCGACAAATGAGCCCGCGACGCAAACTACCACAGCTTCAACATCCTCGTCTACATTTGAAGATTCAAACTGCGTACGAGGCAGTATGGGCTGTGATCCCAAGGTTAGGAAGAAGGTCGCAGGAAGCGAAATAGATGATGTTAGTTCTGGCATAAATTCAACCAGTGGAGAGTCCTCCTGAAACACCCACTACAACTACCGGAATTTGCGTAAGGAAATTGGAAGGTCTCGAAGTTACATCCCCCGGGCACAGAAGAAAACAAGCAGAGGAACGGACCTAAGTACCTGAAGAATCCCGGATCCGAGAAGAGGAAATAAACTCTGGTGACCTGCAGGAGCAGGTAGGAGTTCACAATCATGAGCTGTGTTTTATCGGATAGATCTTGTGCTTGATACTCGGAAGAAGTGACTTCCATTTGTTCTAAAGAGATTGATGTTGCTTCAATATTGGTCAAAGACTTTACGACAGGAACTCGAAACACTTTGAACATATTGAAGTGGGAGCTAAGGCTTCTATCCTACTTTGTTGATGATAGACAATTGCTGGAGTTATTCTCACACTTGAACGTTTTACTTCTCGACTTCTCGAACTCCGAGCACCAATTTTCCATTTACCCCTTATTCCTTGCAGTGAAGTCCATATTTCTCGAGAAAGTATCTTGATCGCTGTTGACCTCTATTTACCAGTGGCTTCTCCATCAGCCAGGCAAAGCTCTCTGTACATCCGTCTTATTATGAACTCGAGCTTGATTTGTTCCCCATTTGACGCTGATATTGCTTCATTACGCAATCCAACACATTGATGCATAGGAATATACTGTTCTAGTGTTATGGTATTCAAGTTGGCGGTCTCGGCGGACATGGCCCTGGAAGTTGCCTCATGCCTTTGCCTTTTGCCTTATCCTATAATCCCAGTTGTGTTTCTCTCAAATGACCGCTCCAGCCACTGTTCCCTCATCGCTAGGAAAGCGTCTTCAATCTCAGGTCTGAATATTCTGACTCGCTTTTCGAAATGCTCTCTACTTTGGTGTGGCATCCAATCTACCTCAGGACAGGGCATGTTCTTTAGATTTTAGTACCAACCCCGTCTGCTGCCTAGAAATGGCATCTTTATGACCCTTTATCATAAAGTCATCTCTACAGCCATTATCCTAATCAAAAACAGTGCATTGGACTATCTACTCGTCTAGCGATCTTCAACTATGATATTCTGATTATTCATGGGCTTGCTTTGTCTGATACTCACACCTGCTCAACGATGCTAACGACTTATTGTTTTAACAGTCGTCGATTCTTTAGAATCTCATTGATTTAATCTATTTGTGCGCATTATTCCCTGCGGTATAATCAATTCCTATGCGATCTTAGAACTGGGAATTTGCAGTACTTCATGAAATCCTTTATACCCCCTATATTTCTGAGAATTAGTGTTCCACATGATACTGTTATCTACATGAGACATCCTTCTCTTTGGGTAATGAAGAAAATAGTACCAGGAGGAGTGATAGAATCATAAATTGATTCATAATCACCTATCTTCTTGCCCTTGTAGGAGCAGATTCTATAGACCTAATAGTCTTTCCTGCAGCGTTCTAAAATTCTACAATGGGGATTGATAGGATAACTGAAGGGTAACCTATTCTTGAGGTCTCCAAGTGGACTATTGACCAACAAAGGCTGGTTTTCTGTCTTTATGGTCGTTTCCATTTATATATGCAGCTTCAATTCTAATGTTGGAAGTACGCCCCCTACTTTGTTAGATACCTTGTTTTGATGTCGGACGATTTTTAGTAAGGTAGATGTTGAAATTTCTTAAGAGTATTTGCGCAACTAGTTATTATTTCGTTGTTAATAATATGCGCAAATATCAGCAGTTCCGCTTTATGTTGTCAATTTTCATGATGCTAATGTAAGTATCATTTGCTTTAGCTCCTACTTCCTGTATCGTAGATCATAATGAATGATCAGAAAACTGGGTAAAGGTAAATGGTCAACAAAATCCATCAAGAGAGGGATAAATACTCGATCGTTCAACATTTTGATCAGGTATGTTCTTTCTTACTACCTCACTCTACAAGTAAAAAGACACAAGAAGATAACATGTGTGTGATGGTGTGGAACGGGATAGTATCATTAATGCGAATGATACTCCATCGCATATCTTCTATTCCATCGAGCTTTTATACTCTTCGATTACCACAGAGAAGAAACAATTCATGTCTGGTTATCTTTACAAACTATATCCAGCCGCCTATCTCTGACTTTATATTACTCGCTGCTCGCTGCCTAATAAAGATCCAGCGCATCTTTCAAAAATACCGCCCGCACGGCTCACTTTTCAAAAGACAAAGCAAAAAACAAAGCTCTAGAGAGATTCACCTCTCACAGCGACATAATCCCACTTGGAAGTCCGAACCCTTCTACACTATCCGCCAATCATTGCCATTCACTGATAGAACACACTCGCTTTTCCTTCTTACGGTTCCATCGCTTGCTACAGTTCATTATTTAATTATAGCTAAGTACGCGACAGACATACATTCTACTCTCATTACCACCCTCTCAATTCTGAAGTTGACTAATATTTTTTAACTGCAATCAACAGAGCGTCGACTTACATTCTGCTTAGTAGTCCAGACCCCACCGAGAAAGATACCAAGTGGCTACCTCTTATCCGAAGACTGTAAGTATTTCTCGCACTGCTCGTTTGCCCTGGGTGTGATTGCATTCGAGTTGCATATGTTTGCTCAGCACAGCTGTACACTTTCCAATCAGGATCAAACATGCAAACAGGTAATCAAACGCAACGTTTGTATCTCTCGATCATTCTCTTGCTTTTGGATCAATACTTTATATTGCGTTCTTCTGATATACTATGTATTGAATTGTACTCTACTGCAATATTTACACGTTTCATCTTTGGACTCCAGCACCCCAAACCAACGAACTTTGCTCTCTCCCACAACTGATACACTGCAATTACATGCACTGATTGCTGCGTGAAGTCAAACACTGCATTCAAGCACTCTCCTAGTCTTGTTTGCATTGCACTAGTTTTCCTTACCGTTACATTCAAGCATCATATCAACCCCTCCACACTGAACACTCAGTTTTCTAGTTATTATGACTCGGGGTTTCATGGTGAGATTCTTATAATATAGTATTTGAAATACCAATTCGTACAATCCCTAACCCAAAAAAAAAAGAAAGGCAATTAATCTCGTCCCACGATATATCCCATTATGCATTGTTACGTTTGCTAACGAGTATCTAGTTGCAGACTGCACCAGCATAAGTATACCCGAAAATCAACCATGACTTCTCTCTCGGACCCAAGCCAACTCGTTACGCTGTCCTGTGGCCAACTTCCCTCCAGCCTCGAAGCACCTGCTGCATCTATCACCGAAAAGACTTCCAAAGGACCCGATATGACTTTGCAATTGGTGGGAAACTCAACCGAAAGTATGTATATCGTCAAAAGGAAACTTGCGGATAGGCTCGCATCCCTGTACGACGAGAAGACCAAGGGATATTCTACGCCAATATGGAAGAATACTGCCAAGAAGTCCCAGCCTACGCACGTGATCGACATTTCACTGGAGAACGAAGCCAGTGGAAACAATTATACCCGGGGCAAGGAGAATAAAGATACTGCTGTGGAGATCTCAGTCAGTGAGATAAAGGACAAGACGGATGTTGGTGGTTCAAAGGAAAATAAGGTTAAAATCCCCATCCGATCAGAGTGGATTGGTACAAGTCAGTTCTCCATAGATCGTGCTATTTCCATACAGGAAAATGTAAGTGCCCCATAAGAATACCGACTACATTCAACCGGCTGATACCTTGAACAGGGACAGCTTGAAGCCCTTATTGATTATCGGAAAGCTATTGTCCACGATATATCCCTTATACCATATCACCCTTCTTTATATCTTGACCTTAGCCGTGTCGATTCGAAGCTTGGGTTTTGCGATATCGGTGCAGCAAATGCATATCGGGCCCTTATTTTAATTCAAGCCGGCCTTCAGCTCAAAGATAGTTCCTACCCAAAGATCCTGGGCCGCAAAGTTCGTCACAGCATTGCTGGTCGGATGGGAACCTACTCGACTCTTGTTATCCGGGATGAACTGAAAGGTCTACATCTCCAGGCCTACCGAGAACTTCTCAACGGCATGCTGGGCGCGGCATGTTTTTGGGACGGTTTATTAGAGGCAAAAAGAGCGTTACAGCTCTCTCCGAACGACCCTGAAATCCTCGAGCTCAGACAACATCTGAAAGATGGGTTTGAGGACAGACATAATGGGCTTAAGAAACTTGGGGTGAAGGACCTCGTAGCAATTACACGGACGGGTCAGATTTATCAGAAGTTGTACCCGTGGCTCGACGAGAAGCTATACAAAAGAACACCAGAGCTTGTTAGACAGGTGAACGAGGATTTTGGGGTGGGCAATTGTGAGGTAAAGAGCGTATTTTTTGGACCCCCTGAGATTCAGGACAAGGAAGATGTTGGTCCTCTTGGTGTGTTCGCGACTCGGGATATCGAGGAGGGAGAAATGGTCATGGTAGACCAATGTCTGACCGGCATATCAGACGTGCCCTCCAGCAAACTCGCCCATTGCGATGCTTGCCACGCCTCTCTTTCTATTCCATTCATCCATCCCGCCGACATCATCAAGCCCAGCTGCTGTGGAAAAGTAGCCTTTTGCAGCCGCGAATGCTACGAATCTGCCTCCAAAGGCTATCACAGAATCATCTGCGGGAAAGATATTGATTGGCTGTACCGTGGCAACACCGATGAGAAAGAAGGTCGCGGGATCAGATGGCGTCCAATCCAATTCCTCCGCCTTATGAGCATTGTCATCTCAGACCTACGTGCCCAGCGGACTCCAACACATCCTCTCCAACACCCGCTCATCGCACGCATGGCCGCCAACTACGCCCCGGCGTCCAAACACCACCCCGATACCTGTTGCGACTGGCAGTACTTCGAGAACGTCGTTGCGCCGCACCGAATCCTGCAGCTTCTGGACGTCGATATGTTTACCAGCCCGGAGTTCTCGCCCGAGGTCATCCAGACAATTTACTGGCGGATGGAAAACAACGCGAGTATGTCAACGGTCAATCTCTCACTCTCGAAACCGGACCCTACGCTGCTGGATGCAGAGAAGGATGCAGTGCATATGATTTGCCTTAATCCGAATTATCTCTTTTTTAACCATAGCTGCGAGCCGAACGTGTCCTGGCATGGCGCGATCCCGGACCCGTGGGTGGGCATCGAGTGGCTGAGAGGTCTCGATGGCGAGATCATGAGGCCCGGGTGTAGTGCGGTGTGGTGCTCTGCGGCAAGAGATATAAGGAAGGGGGAAGAATTGAAGATTAGTTATGTGGGCAATCCCAGGGGTGATGTGAGGGGGGATAGGGAGAGTAAGAGGAGTTGGTTAGCAAAGTGGTTTGAGGGCGGGTGCGGATGTGACATCTGCAAGGGAGAGAATGAGAAAGCAAAAGTGGAGGGGGGGAAGATGTGATTGAAGGTTGGGTGATTGGAGGGGACATGAATATGTTTGCTGGACATCTTGAGGGAGCGAGGATTGGATATGCGGTGATTTAGAGCTTTGGATGCGATATACAGCATCTTGAAAAGAACGAAATGAGCCCCGATAGATACCTCAGTGCTGATTTCCATAATAGACTTTCGTACATTTTCAAAATCTTATATTGAAAGCGCATGCATATATCCCAGCATTCATATGCATTACCAGTTTCAACTCCAATCCCCCGAGTTGAAAAACGTCCGGCACCAAAGCTGTGACACTTATCCACAGCATATGGTGACTATTTACAGAAAAATTATCGCAGAACAAGGACTAATGACATCGCCCAATTCAATGCATGAGACTATGACCCGTCGCGCAATTGAGGAAGGTCAAAATCCCAAGCTAGGTTCCATCTCAACATTCGTCTACCTCTAAGCACCCTTCCTGACCATCAGCCTCCGCCTGCCGCAATCTCCGCCAATACAGGTCCATCCTCGGGTTGATAAAATCATCGGCAACGGGCCTCACCTTGGCACACTTCTTAAGCGTCAAGCCCTTAAATTTCAACTCAATCTCCTGGCTCTCGAGACTCAAGTCTTTAGTCCACGAGAGCGATATCTTGCATACGTCGTAGACGCGCAGAAGCCAGATAGAGCGCATCTCCAGCCCGATCCATGCTTTGGTCTGGCTGTCCAGTTTGACCCATGCGTGGCGCAGGGCGATGTATGCGGGGTCTTCAGCAAGCGAGGCTGGAACATCCCAGTGATAGGGGTATTTGAAGCTCCTCCGGAGGCCGCGATTCGTGGAGCGCTTTACGTTGCTGTGGGGATGAGAGAGTCTTTCGCAGTAGGGAGCGCGCCAGCTGGGGCAGATGTCGAAATGTTCATTGCAGTAGCCCATGTGGTGATTGAGGTTTAACTTTTGCTGGTCAAAGTCGGAGAGTGTTTTGTTTGGGTTGAAAGGATCTATGTTCCTAGAATGTTAGGTGCCGTTTTAGGACAATGGAAGTGGGCAAATGGTACCTCTAATGACATCCTCCATTTCGGGACATTCGGATGGCTTAAGATCCATCTCGTGCAGGAGATAAATGACATCTGCCTTGGATGTGGCCAACATTACAGCGGCCTTGCACTTTTCAGTTTGGTTGTTGAAGTCGAATGAATTTGGGTCGAAGGGCGGGATGTCGCGAGGGGAGACTCCCTTGGGACCAAAACTGAGGGGGTCGGTGATAGGCTCACCAGCAGCGTCGACATTCGAAGGTTCGACCCCAGGCAGGATTTCAGTGTTGAGGGACGCTTCGGGTTCAACGTGAGCCGGGCTTGTGGTGTTCAATCCAGATGGGGATCTGGTTTCAATAGAGATAGAGCGAGGAACGTGTAGATTATTGGCCTCTGCGCTCTTGCGAGCGGTGCGGTATGCCTTTGCTATCATGTTCTCGTACGATTCCATATCATCAAACAAGTTCAAAAACTGATGACTGAGATTAAGTTCTTTAACGACTGTTTTTCTCAGGTCATAGTATTCTCGGAAACCCAGATTCTTCTGATCCCGAATAAAGTCGAGATACAAGTCTACATCCTCCACGGTGAGCAATACCTTACTCGTGTCCCTATCGGGGTCGACCTGGTCGACTGGGTTTGATGGTGTGATTGGGCTCAATCGGCTGTGAACATAAACAGGATTAGATTTCCCCTCTCTTTTCGAATCCGACATTGGGAATGGATCGTGATTTTCCATGCCATGACGTTCATGCGCTTCTTTCGCGACCTTAGTTTCGACATCCTGCCCTAAGTTGCTGATAGCATTATCAAGTTCAGATGAGAAGATAGACTTCATAAGATCTGTAAACCAAGAACGTTTGGTGAGGCGAGAACCCGGTTTTTCATTGGGGGTTGCGGAAGCGCTAGTAGCGGCACCGGGATTAGGGATACCTTTGAACTTGCCGATGTACTCCGTAAGGTTGAGCTTCTTGATATCTTCGGAAGAGAGCTGTGGAAGCTCGGCAACCAAGTCCTTGGCACTCTCAGGGGCGATCAAGTGTGCATAGTAGGTGATTTTACCGACCTCGTGCTCGAATACTTTGTAAGTGTCTTCCTCCGTCGAGGTATACGAGAGGTGGTTCTCGGCAGTCTTGTAAATACAGCGCCGGAAACGTCTTCGTCGTTCAGTACTAATACTTTTGTATAGCTCCCAGCATATCTTCCGCATAAGTTCAATGTAGGTACCATCATAAAAGGTCGTGTTGACTGATTCAAAGTAGCACCCATATCTAAGTGTTTGCTCTTTGGTCTTTTGGGTATACAGGAGACTCTCCGTCAAACGTTGTAGTGGTCTGAGTTGGTTAAAGCATTGCCTTATTTCAGAACTTATTCCGCGGCGGGAACTGCCATTCAAATCTCGAGAGCTGACATGTTGCAGACCTCGAGAATTCAGGTGTCGGGGAGATGGAACCAAAAGCGGACCGCCAGTGAGCTTGCTATATATCGGCTTGGCAGAAGGAGTAAGCGAAGTTCTGCCAGAAGAAGTGATTGGGCGAGAATGCTCTACAGCGGGGCCATGGCCAAGGTGTAGCGGTGGCGTGCTTGAAATGCCATTATCGATGGCTGGCTTGTCGCTGAGAGGTTGGGTTTGTGAGAAGCCCTCCACATTGGAGGTATGTCTGGATTCGAGTCCTACAGGACGAGGAACGACAATGCCGTTTGGTGCGACTTCAACAGCGATCGGTCCAAGGGTTTTATCGTTGCGTACAGGATATCGGTGGTTTCCAGCCTTGGGAGCTTGGTGGATAGTGCTAGCAGTAGAAGCCTGAGAGGGAGCTGCAGAGTGTGTAGAGACAGGATTGGCGTTGGTACAGAAGGCCGAGATAGCCAGAGCAACGATAGGTGTAAACCTCATTTCGAGGTGAAGATTTGGAGATGGACTCTGATATGAGGTTGAAAGCGTGAAGGCTGAAAGGGTTACAAATATGTAACCAATCTGCACGGGGATGCCAGTAGCCGTCCGATCTGTGTGCGATTCGTATATGTAGTTTCGGCGCAATGGTCTGGGCAAGGAGAGGAAGCCCAAGGTTGGGGTGCTTGAGATGTGGGAAAAACCAATGCGAGGCTAAGGTATAACCTCGAGAGTTGCCCTGCTGGCATGACCAAGAACTGCCCTACCCGCATGCTCAAGCCTTGTTACTGAAGTGAAGCCATTCCGTAATCAGAGATCATACGGCCATCAAGGTCGTAGTGAACCGTCTTGCGGCTGGTATATTTCCTCGGGGCCAATAATGCACGATTTTATCTCACCGGAGCCATGGTTCGGAAAGGGGCTGCCCGACGTGGCCGCGAGCTAACATACTCGAATCACTATGAAAGACGACGATGGACGAGTAAGTAATTCTCTTCACACGCGATGCCATTTCTTCATATGACAATTGCTGGAATACATACTTTGTTATACAGCCTAACGCCCATCCTGACCAATTATAGTAACCCTTGCTTCTGCAAATCCAAGTACACTTTTTCTGGCATAACATTACCTTCCGCATCCTCCATTTGGACTATGCCACCATCATCAGCCCTGGCCTTCTTCTTGTCACTCTGAATCTTATCCCAAAGTTTTCTCGCATCGTCTATGCCAGTGATTTCTCTGAATAGCGTGGTATTCGTGATTCCCAAACATTTCAACCCGTAAATATGACGCGCCTCGTTGAAGTGCTTGTCGAACGCGCGCCGTCCCATGTAGACATAGTTCCCGCAGATTTCGCACTTGAACTCGACGCCGAGACCATGGAGCTTGTACAACCAGAAAGGAATCGGCTTGCCATCCCAGGCTAGCGGCAACTTCAGAGGGTTGTATATTTTCTCGTCATTATCAGACTCGCTATCTGAGTCGCCACCCTGGGGTGTCGCAGTTGAAGCTTCCGCGAACCTTGCTTCCAACTCCAACTGTCGCTCCCGGTCCGTCATACCCTGCTTTCGCTCAACATTGACTTTCGTGTCGCTCCTTTCCTGTGACATTGCTGCTGCGAGACGCTTCACTCTAGTCTCACGCTCTGCTATTGCACGCTCTTTCAAGCGCAATACGTTTGAACTCCTATTTGACGACCCATTCGTCTCGCCTCCCGACTCTGCTAACCGGGCTGCTCTCAGCTCTGCTGCCTTGATGTGTTTCTTGCCGCTGAGGTGGCTCTTGTAAACATTTTCGTTCTTGAACTCCTTTTCACAATCCTGACACCAAATTGCATCGGTAGCTGGCCCATTCGTTGGTCCTGCTTCCAGCTTCCATCCAGGCACCTCATTATTGTTCCAGGCTTTCTCAAAGTCGTCATCAAAGCTTTTGAAGACCTTGTCTAGATCTTCGAGTGGTCTTGTCCGCCGCATAAAGCTTTCGAGATACTCGGCCAACTGTGTCACATAAGCGAAATACTGGTCCGTCATCTTGTCGGGCCGTTTGATATTACACTGTGGAGGTGTGAAAACATCGAATGAGTCGAGGTATTGGAGATAGGTCAGGCGTTTGATGCTAGGGAGGTTGAGGTAGAGCTCGTGGATGATGGTAAGATCGAAGTATTTTCCATACTCCTCCTCGCCAGTAAACATGTTGTCAATCTCGGATGTGATCGTCTCCCCCTCTCCTGGTGACCTTATCTTATACGCGCGCTCAAGATTCTCGACAGGTTCATTTGGATATCTCTGATGAAAAGACTTGATTTCAGCCAGCTGTTTGTAGAACTCTTCCAGCGGCTCACCCGTGGAGATAGACTGGATTTCCTTGGTGCGCGCGCCATCTGCGTCCTTGTAGATGTCGAGTAATCGTTTGGATTGATCTTGAATTCGATCAAGGAAGCCCGCGATCTGGTGGTCGCGGTTGAGTCTTTCACGAATCTAGGTAGAGTAGATTAGAACTGCTTTCTAGGGATAGGAGGAAGACAGGGAGCCTACTTGTCGGGGTTCTTGCGCCACTCGATCACTGATACCCTGCTCCAACCTCTCGAGATCCTCGTGGAGGAATCTCTGCTCCTCCAAAATCATCTTGCGCGTAAGTCGTGATCAACAGACGTGGTGAAAAGACGAAGTAATGGATACGAGCGACTTGACGGGATGTTGGGTTGATGTTGACTGAGGGATGGTACTGGGGGAGGTTGGATGAGGCTCTCGAGTTTTTGCGCTGGCCAATAGTAAAGAAGATCGCTCAGCCCTGCCCAGGAGGCTACCTTATGTACCGCTACCTGATACGGCCACGGGCTTGACAGCAAAAGACTTGATATATTTGCTATTAACACCGATATCCTGTTCTGATTGATCAGACCAATGTTTACATTTCTTCCGCCTGTGTCTTGTGTAGAATCCCCGTGGCGGATAGACAGCATTCTATATAGGCACCTTAAGCTACACGCAGACACCTGAATGGGTAAATCGAAACTCAGGATTTTATCTGGCAACAGCTGTGAACACACTGCTTAGAAACACAACTAGATTAGAACGTATCAGTATCCCTCATCCTGCTATCATTTTGCTTTTAGAATATGTGTTGTGCTCTTTGTGACCCTCTCAAGGATGATTTTGGGAAGGGGTGTCTGTATCAGTTTCCCCGGCTCTCATAAACCCACACCCGCATGAAAGTAAATATCCTTCGCGAAAGCATCATCTTCTACAGCGACAACACCCAACAACCCTCTTTGATATTTCCCTCTCCAAAAGAATTTCCAACTTAATCGCAACCATGGCTGAAGGTGGAATTGATCGCAAGGCGGACGAGAGGATGGAATTCACCACCTCAAAGGATGTGACAGTCGCCCCCACATTCCAGGTACGAGATCAAGTGCGACAAGATACATGTGGCGCCAGCTGATCGAACTTAACACACAGGACATGCACTTGAAGGAGAATCTCCTCCGTGGTATCTACGCTTACGGTTATGAGTCTCCATCAGCCGTCCAGTCCCGCGCGATCGTTCAGATCTGCAAAGGTCGCGATACAATCGCCCAGGCGCAATCCGGTACGGGTAAGACTGCGACCTTCTCGATCAGCATGCTCCAGGTCATCGATACCGCAGTCCGTGAGACGCAAGCTCTCGTCCTCTCTCCTACTCGAGAACTGGCGACACAGATTCAATCCGTTGTCATGGCATTGGGAGACTACATGAATGTTCAATGCCATGCCTGTATCGGAGGCACGAACGTGGGAGAAGATATCCGCAAGCTCGACTACGGACAGCACATTGTCTCCGGGACACCTGGTCGAGTCGCTGATATGATCCGTCGCCGAAACCTTCGAACCCGCCATATCAAGATGCTCGTTCTTGACGAGGCTGACGAACTGCTGAATCGCGGTTTCAGAGAGCAAATCTACGATGTCTACCGTTACCTACCTCCTGCCACGCAAGTCGTCGTTGTCTCCGCCACCCTCCCATACGATGTTCTGGATATGACCACCAAGTTCATGACCGACCCAGTCCGTATCCTGGTCAAGCGTGATGAGTTGACACTCGAAGGCCTGAAGCAGTATTTCATCGCCGTCGAGAAGGAGGAATGGAAATTCGATACTCTTTGCGACCTCTACGATACCCTTACTATTACCCAAGCCGTTATCTTCTGTAACACCCGCAGGAAGGTCGACTGGTTGACCGATAAGATGCGTGAGGCTAATTTCACCGTGTCCTCGATGCACGGAGAGATGCCACAAAAGGAGAGAGACAGCATTATGCAGGATTTCCGCCAAGGCAATTCCAGAGTTCTGATTTCTACAGATGTCTGGGCTAGAGGTATCGACGTTCAGCAGGTGTCTCTAGTTATCAACTACGACTTGCCAAGCAACCGTGAAAACTATATTCATCGCATTGGTCGAAGTGGTAGATTTGGACGGAAGGGTGTTGCTATCAACTTCGTTACGAGCGAAGATGTGAGGATCTTGAGAGATATTGAGTGTATGTTCTGATCTTACTATGTTTCCAGAAGATGACTAACCACAAGCAGTGTATTATTCTACTCAGATCGACGAGATGCCCATGAATGTCGCCGATCTTCTTGCGTAGTTTGGTTCCATTTTCAGGAGTATGGAGGAGTCAAATAAAATAATTGACGCTGCATGAGCACGTCCGGTACATGGTCAAGTGGGAGGAAAGGGCAATGTCATTAAATGTGAGGTGCTTTTATTCCAGTCATAAGAGATGTACTTACTGACGCCTTGCCCTCTGATATCAGATCCGAAATGAAATTGAAGTCCCAGTTTCTACTCTTCTACTGCACGAGGGATGGATAGGTAGCCAAAGGTCCTTTGACACCGATTGCATGAATCATTCTAATTCAACAAACTTCATCTGGCTCGGCTTCGAAGGCGGTGATGTACCTTTTCCCGCAAACAGCAGCATGCAGCTGCTTATGCATTGTAGTCTAAGCGGGTCCACAGGGAAACCTCCCCCACCGTCTATCCACTAAAGATCGAGTGGAACCACGTACAATGTACCCATCTTTTGTTAAGCGGTCAAACTTTAATAGTTAACAAATGAGTGATACCGAGTGGTGTTATCCAAAAGTCAACAAACATGACTTCAATCTCAAACTCAGAAACAGATTACCGGAGTCGCTTCAAAGAGTTACAGAGTATTGAAGACAAGAAAGATTTTCTAATCGAAGTACGTTGAGCACCGCATCACCGATCGATCCAGAGACTTATCGCGACCGCCGTAGGAGCTACTTGCAGCATTAGATACCATTACGGGACAGCAAAATGAGTTGAAATCGGATCTCGACACGGAGCGTGAAGTACGTCGTCGACTCCAGCGCACATTGCGTGAGGCGCAACCCGTCCAAGAACGCTTCGCGCTTCTCATAATCCATCTGGACGCAGATGTATTCCTTGTATTCCACTCTCCCCGCCATTTCCCTTCGTCGTATTCTGATATCAAGTAGTTTGAAGACAGCTGGATCCATGAGCCCGTCGAGGGTGGCGAGGGTATGGTCTCGGCGCTCCAGGAGAACACCCACGAATACCTGTCGTCTCTCATGGACGATGTCTCGGGCGTGGAGGTGATAGTTAAGATATATGGGGACTTGTTCAAAATGTGGCAGAGATATGAGGAGGAGGGATCAAGTCTGGGATCTAGTGATTTGACGAGGTTCTTCTCGCATTTCAACCGGACTGAGCCGTTGGTTGATTTCATGGATATTGGGCCGCGTAAGGAGAGCATCGTGAAGAAGCTGAGTGGTATGTTTTCTTTTCCTTCGTCTTCTTTACTTCGAGAGGGAATCTCTCCATCTCAGGTGGAAACCGATAAAAGTCTATGGGCTGATGAATTTCACCGACAACAGGCGTCCTAGGCCATTACCTCACAGACTCACGCTGCGAACACGTTCTCCTCGCCGCTCCATACGCCAGCATCGACCCTATCGTCTCCCCCCACACCACCACCCTCTCGCCCACCCCAAACCGTCTCACCATCATCCCGCCTCCATCTCCTTCCTCGCGGACCCGCAAACCCTACGACAGCCTCCCCTACCCCACAACCAACCTTTTCGACTCCCTGTTCATCCACCCGCCGCACCCGAAAACGCGCAAAAAGCACTCCAAATCGCCGCCACCCCCAGCCGCGCCCGCCCCGCCCCCCGCCACCGCCAACGTGCCCAAGCTCCGGATCCGCGGCGCCAAGGCCCACGAGCGGAGGGAGGAGCCTAGTCCCGTGAGGCCTGGGCCGCTGTTGAGGGCCCCGTCGCCGCCGCCCGGGTATGCGGGACCTGCCATGGGCATGGGCATGGGCGGGCAGAAATGGGGCCCTATGCAGGTTGCGAGGGTGCCGCATGGGAGGAATGAGTATCCGAGGGGCGTGATGGAGGGGCCTGGCGTGCCGGTTTTGAGATGGCCATGAAATGAGATATGAGGAACTGCTAGGGCGTTGTTTTGGGGGGGGGATTGTACACCCTGGTTTTTGTGTCGCGATCGTCTGTATCGTAGGCGTGTCGTAGACAGGTGTTTTGTTGAGGTGTATCGAGAATGCAGAGAAATTAGATGTTTGTGTAAAGTCTCATTCCTTCTATCTATCTGGGTGTCTCAGGCCAAGAATCAAGATGGGATATTGGGGGTGGGGGGGGGGGTTATGCGGACTCTGGGGTAGGTGGAAAGGGACGTATATAATATCGTGTTGTTCGCTCCTTCTTTCCCTCTTTTCCTCCTCAATTCATCTCTCCTCCCACATAAGTAGGTAGGTTCCTGTGCCTTTTTATCAGATTGTTTTCAAAGCTTCTGAAGAGGTAGGTAGTTAGGTAGGTAGAAGAATATAGCCGTCCGTCTCCGAAAATACTTTTTTAATAAAAAGGTAGGTAGCTCTTAAAATCGCTTTAAATACCAAAAATCCCTCGAAAAGGTACGACCACCCTGACTTGCTAGACCTAGCCATGGACTAGAAACAGTGCTGCAAATAAGCATTTGGGAAGCACGAATGGACTTTCACTTGAAGTGGGCGGGTGTGCAGCAAGCGATAAGTGTTAAGGGTAAGGTACATGCACATTATTATATAAGATTGATAAGTCCGTTAAAAAGGATCGTCAAATCAATCGACCAGGGGGAACCAGGTCCTTCGATTGGTTAATGGAATCTTGAGGATTATGGCGGGGAGAGCGGGGTGAGGTGATGGGAAACCCCAGCTTTGCGTTGCTGGACTAGGTTTAGCCGCCAGAGAGCGACGACCCCCATCCCCCTTACCTCCACACGAGCAACCTCGGTATCTTTTTCAGTCTGCGGGGATTCAATACAAGTACGGAGGTAGGCACAAAGCACAATTAAATATCGGGGGAACGGCATCTCTAAAATCCTCATCCGTATGTTCTCTTTCTTTACTTCACCTCCACCTATTGGTTCTTCTGCGTATCCAAAACATCCTCCTGGGAGGTGTCTTATAAGTTATATATACGATCTCCGCACGATATCCGTGTCGTACTGTACCTATCTCTATTTTGTTCCGTTTCTTCCATAGGCAAGGAAGGTATCGCTCAAAAATGGCAGCTCAGACCCTTCTCACTCGCCAACCGTTCAAAGGTCTCTGGGTCATCCTCGCTATTGGATTCAATGCTTTCCGTCTCCCGCTCTGGATGCTCTACTATATCCCGAAGTTCCTACGCCAGCATCCTGAATGGACATATCGACAAGCGATCGGCGTACGGATCCTGAAAGCATACCTCAACACCATTTCGCCGATTGCACACGGAACATCAACGTCGCTCTCACCTGGGGCAGAAGGCAAGCGCTGGGTCATCGTGAAACCCGCGAAGCCGGAAGTCTATACTGGGATTGTGAAGAAGGATGAGGAGATCGTGCCGGAGAAGTTGGGGGGAACATGGTATCCCAAGACGTTGGAGAAATATGAGGAGGCCCAAGGGGAAGATATAGTGCTTCACTTCCATGGCGGGGCTTTTGTAATCGGGGATGGTCGTGAGAAAGACGCAGGGTTCGCGGCCAGGACAATCATAAAAAATACGACGGCAACCCATGTCTTCTGTCCGCAATACAGACTGTCGAGCATTAAAGGGGGGCGTTTCCCCGCTGCTCTGCAGGACGCGATTACAGCCTTCCAGTACCTGACAGAGACACTGGGCATCCCTGCGAACAAGATCACCATATCAGGTGACAGCGCCGGCGGGAATCTCTGTCTCTCCCTCTTGAGATACATTGCGGACCATCCCGAGGCGGGACTCCCGAATCCGGCCTGTGCATGGTTATGGTCGGCATGGGTGGACCCAGGAAAGAGTTTAAAGCCCGGAGTCTCCGGTTTCGATCCGAAGATAGTCACAGATTACCTGAATGAAGAGTTCGGTGCCTGGGGGGCAAGAACATATGCGCCGAGTCCAAAGAGCGGGATTACCCTCGACCATCCCAATATTTGCTTTGCGGATAACGCATTTGCAACACCTACTCCACTTTTCTTCTCGACAGGCGAGTGCGAGGCGCTCTATCCCGACGATGTGAAGTTGTATGAGAGTTTTAAAGCTGTGCCGGGAAACAAGGTCGTGTTGCAAGTTGAGAGGAAGGCCGTGCATGATATTATTCTGACTGGTAAGGTGGTAGGCTTTGAGAAAGAGGCTGCAGAAGCTGTGAGGGGAGCGGGTGTGTTTCTCGAAGGGAGCAGGTAGATTAGTACATCGGTGTCACTATCCCGTTTTTCTAGGTGACAGATCGATTTGAAACAGGTGGAATTGCAGGGGCGATCCCCGCGGGAGGTTGAACTCATGAATCATGTTTCTTTTTTGTTCTGGCTTTCCGTATTGGTGGGAGAAAAACCTTGGAGCCTCTTTTCCACGAGTTTCTGCCTCTGCTCGTTCCTCTCCTCGATGCCGGTGTTGATATTGATATGAGCTTTTTTAATTTCAGTAAACAGTTCGTGCGCTTCGATATTCCTGAGCGGACTTTGGAATTGGCCTGTGATTGGAGTCGTCAAATTATCGGTATTGACTAGGACCGGTGAATGGGCTCGCAGGACGAAGACGATGGAATATCGGTAGTTCCGACGGGTAAACTCGTTGGGTTGTTTGGGTTGAGAGGGAGGATCTGGATATGAGCGGACTAGGTGACCCCCAGCTGTATATCGGCCGTTGGTCAAACGTTGGAGTTGTCGACCAACAAGAAGACTGCCGGCTGGACAATAGTAGGTCTGTTCAATCGGGAACCATCTCCGAGCGTGGCGGTCCCAGACTTCCAGTCCCGGTGTGTCGCCGATGACAAGGCTGAGTAGACCGAGGTCTCTATGAGCTGTACACATCAAGTGTTAAGGCATCGACTGGAATCACCTAGGAGAATGCAGAGGTTCCAACTTACGTTCAGCGACAGTCTTGGCTTGGTTTCCCTCGAACCCCTCGTACCTGAATAGCCGCAAGAGAGTTGCGGTCTTTTCGGGGCGTAATTCGGCGCAAGGCTGAGAGTAGACGGTTAATGCCTCGGCAGGCAAGCCCAGACTCTTGGCTATGCATCCCAATAACTGGTTCAGGAGTCCTCCAGCCTCGCTCCAGAAGGCCACCGCGGCATCCTTCAGCTCTGCAGGCGTTGAATCGAGACTCCGAAGAGTAATGAATTCCTTTTCTCCCTCGACCCGGCTCCAGCCTTCTTCACTTCCCCCTTCCGTCTTGAACCCCTGCTTGTAGGAGTCCGGGAGGTCAAAGAACCTCCTGCTGGCCTCGAAGAGCGCTTGCGAGCTGTTGTAGAGACTATCCGAGGGGTCATCGTAGGTTATGGTCGTCCAACCTTGATCTGAAAGGGCAAATTGATGTTCAAGAAGGATCTTGGGAAGATCCAATGGCTTCAAAGGCGGAAGAGATGGAGTTGGCGCGTTCCGGGCCTTGTGTGGGTCGGCACGTGCTTCTTCGTGGGCAGAGTCTTGGCGGCGCTTTGCAGAAGTGGGCGCCAAGGACGGTTGGTTTGTAGCGAGAAAGGCCATGAATTTCGATCGTCTGGGGTTTGAAAATGAGGAATCCTACTCAACTCAGGGCTTCAGTCGAACTTGCTGATGAGTTGCCGCTTGGATATCTTGGAGACCTGGATGTTCATGAGCTTGACATAAAGTTGGGGCTATTCCGTATATAGGTTAGTATCTTGGATGTCAGCTGACATGCGGTACGTGTCAAACAGCAGGGTCAATTACTACCGGGATACAGAACCTATTCCCCTAATTACTAACTAACCCTTGATTAATATACAGGGATTGATCCCTTACACCCTGTTTAATAGTTTATAGTGTTATTAGGATTTAGGTACTTAGGTACTTACATACCCTATTTATAGCGGATACAGCGCCTATACATGTAAATAACAACCCCTTTTTTAAGTATATAGAACAAGAGACTACCCTTTATTCTATTTAATTTAGTTTAATTTAATCTACTTCTAACTAACTTAAATTCGCCTATTATTACTACTTCTTTATAGTAATATATAACCTCTTTTATCTAACAGTTATAAGCCCGGGTTACTTTAATAGCTATTTAGTAACTATTATTTTAATATAAAAACACTTTTTCGACTAATTAGAGAGCTTAAATTATAAGAGCTAAATAGCGTTAAAAGGGATTAATATTAACCCCTTTCTACTTCCCTTAAATAACTAGTTCTAAGCACTACTAATAGCTATTTAACACTACTAATAACAGTAGAATTATACTTAATTTTAACGATTTTAGTAGACTCTACTACTTAGTAGAAGTACGTCGACTACTCTTAAACGACTAGAGTTACTTCCTTTATTTACCTCTTTCTATTACTACTTTTAGTTAATACAAAACAACTAGAAACATGCCTAGAAATATACTAGTTCTTAATAGATCTAGTAACTAAGATTACTAGATAAAAGTCATTAAATCTAAAGCGCTTAGTACTAGAGTTTAGATATATATTAACCTAGATACTATAAAAGCAGAACTCCTTATTCTAGTAGAGCTAAGCCTCTTAGATCTTTTAGATATTAAAGGAGTCCTTAAAGATAGCTTAAGAGTTACTTACGCTATACTAACAGACAATAAGAAAAAATAATATTATATCTACTAAAGGTATTACTCTAAACACTAAAGAGAGTATAAGCGCTTAGCTTAATTAGTTAGAGACATACGCTCTCTAATTACTAGATTAGTAAGGAGAGACTATATTAAATACGTTAACACTAAAGACATAGTATATAAGATCCTAGTAGATCTTTAGTAAAAGGTTATACTCTCTAATAAAGTTAAACAAGATCTCTTCTTATAAGATCTAACTAACGCTAGTATCTTACTAAAAAGAAGACAGTTAGTTATAGCCTAGGTAGAACACTTTAAGTCTACTTACCTAGCTTGTTTAGTTAATAAGATACTAGAGGTATCTAGTAATAGACTAATTAAGGCCTTTATTAACGGCTTAAAAGAAGTTAATCTATACTTTATTAAGATAGTATACTATAGGTTACTTAAGAAAGAGATAATAACGTTTAAAGAGGTATTAGATAAGTTTAAACTTAACCTTAGAAGCTAGAAGGACATTAGAGTTACCTAATCCGGTAATTACGGCGCCTTCTTAACTATAGAGGCTATACTTAGTAGAAGAAGTAGTAGTAGTAGTAGTAAGGGTAAGCCTAAGTACTTATATAGTAGCTACTACTACTACTATAATTACTACTATTTAATACTATCTAAGTGTCTTAATTAGTAAAAACCCTATAATAACGTCTAAAGAAAGATTAACGATTAGCTAAACGTAAGTAGTAGGCTTAAGGCTTTAATTAAGTTAATTAGAAGAAAGGAGAAAGAGAACAAGTAAGGTAATAGTAATAAGAAGAATAGTAAACCTAACTAAGACAAAGATAAAGACGCCTTAAAAGTGTTTACTATAGACTTTACTATAGCTATGTCTAACGCTTATTAAACTAACTTTAGCTACTTAGTTTCTATATTAACTCTAATTCTAATAGTCTAATTAGTCTAATCCTTGTCCTTTAGACCTACTTATCTACTTAAGGATAGCTTTATTCTAGACTTAAGAGTAACTATCTATGTCTATAACGATAGATTACGCTTTTACTCTATTAAGCCTGTCTTACTAAGGAGTATATTAATAGCTAGTAAGGACTATATCTAAATTAAAGCTTTTAGAGACGTTAAGATCTAACTTACTAGCCTAAAAGGGAAATTTAGTATAGAGCTAAGGAGTATAGCCCTTATTCCTTCTTTTTATACTAGTGTAGTTTCCTTACGTAAGATAATTTAGAAAGGAGTCTACTAGGATATAAAGAGAAACCGTCTAACTTATAAGAATAATACCTTCTATTATACTCTTATTAAGTTTAACTAATAGGTACTTAAATATAATAGTTCTACTACTAGATCTACCTTCTTAGTAATCTAAGATATCTCTTCTAATAGTACTCTTACTTGCCTTATATCTAATTCTAAACTAGGGTTAATTAAATATAAGCTACAAACAGTAGTAACAGATGTATTAACTATTAAATTAATAGCTATTTTAGCGGCCTTTCTAACTAACTTATACCTACTAAGAATACTATTAAAAGCGTTAGTAGAACTCTAGTATAAACGGATAAGGTACTTACGTATAGAGGTAATCTAACGCCTAGCTACTAGTACTAAAGGAGTTAAGTTAGTACCTAAGGATTAGTACCTAATCCTACTATATAAGGTTTACTACCTAGTAAACGCTAAACAGATTATATCTAGAGCTCTTATTAAGCGTATAGACAAACTATTTACTAGGATCTACCTAGATCTTATATAAATGTACCTAATAGACTCTAAAGAGGTATATATCTTCTACTTCTTTAACGATCTTACTAGAATAAGCTTTATATATATCCTTATAACTAAACAAGGCTCTTTAGCTACTATACAACACTTTGTTTTCTTAATTAAAAGGCACTTTAACGCTAAAGTCTACTAGATTAAGCTTAATAAAAAAACGTCTCTTAAGAGAGATTTTAATAATTAGGTAAAAGTAAAAGGCTCTATTATTAAATAATTAGTACTACGTATAGTAGCCTAAAATAGACTAATTAAAAGATCTAGGAGGGTACTCTTTAGTAGAGTAAGAGTACTAAAAATAAGATCTAACTTACTATTAAAGCTATAGCCTAAACTAATAAAAACAGCCGGATACTTAGTAAATAAATCTCTTATTACTTCTTTAGGCTAGAAAACACTATATAAGTGTCTTTACTACTCTAAACTAAACCTCTCTTACCTCTATGCCTTTAGCTATAAAGCCTACGCTCTAATTAAGAATATAGTACGTCTTAACAAGCTAGAACTAAGAGCTTTTATTAGATACTTAGTAAGATATAACTCTACTAATATCTATAAAGTCTAGATCTTAGTAAGAGATAGAGTAATATCTTATAAAGACGTTACATTTAACGAAACATAAAGGTACTAGCCTTAAGATAAACAAGACGCTACTAAAGAAGTAATTAAAGCTATTAAAATACTAGTAATTAGTAAATATAACTAGTAAATTAAAGAAGAAGACGATCCTTTTAATCCTTTTATTAAGAACGGCGATAGCGTACTACTTAATCTACTAGTAGATCTAATAGATCTTATAATAACAACAAATCTAACTAATCTTATTATAACTCTTATAATAATAAGGAACCCTTTAGCTAAGAAAGTAGAGAAAGGGACTAGAACTTACTACTTATATGCCTAAAGAACTACTTCTATTAACTTAACAAATCTATTAGTACTATAGGCTCTTAACCCTCTTTTAATACTAAGAGCTTTACTTGTTCTAACAACTTCTTCTCTTTTACTTATCGACTCTAGTAAAACCGTAACTAGGGATATTAATAAGGTTATAATAAGGGATATAAATAAGGATATACTAAGGAGGTAGCTAGAGAATAAAACCTAATAAAGGGTCTAGTAGCGTAGATCTAACTCTACTAGTCTTAATCTAGCTAATATACTTCTAATAAGAATAAGGAATAAAAGAGTAAGGAAAGAAGCTTACACTATCTAAATAAAATAAATTAGAGCCTATAGTAGCTTTTATACTACCTTTTAAACAGGAATAGAGTACGCTAAAAGAAGGATCTATAAAACAGAACTACTAGGCGTCCTTAATAACTAAAAAGAGCTTTAAAACTACTAATATAAAGATAAATTTATAGTAGTAGTAAATAAGGAGTATAAGGATCTTAAAAGACGTAAGACCTTTAAGACTGTTCTAAAGAGTATATCTAAAGGATTAGCTATCCTAGTTAAGTAAGTGTTTATATACAAATTTAATACTAATAGCTTCTTAGACAAATTTAAAGTAAGACTTATAGTTAGGAAGGATCTTTAATATCTAACTAGCTAAGACAATTACACTACTACTCTAGCGTTATAAGTGTTTAGAGGTTTAATAGTAATAGTATACTACTTTAATCTAGAGATCTACTAGCTTAACGCTATAAATGCCTTTACTAATAGTAATATAGACAAGACTGTTTATATTAAATATCTTAAGGGTTTTAATAACTTAGAGTATATTCTCCTCTTTCTTAAAGCTCTTTATAGGCTACGCTATTCCCCTCTCTTATAGTATACTTACTTTACTAAAACACTAGCTAAGTTTAGCTTATATCTAGTTCTAGAGGCCGAGTATCTTTATATAAATAAATACCTTATTGTCTTCTTTTATATAGACGATATTACTATCCTAGTAAGAAAGAAAGATTAATAATACCTTTAAAACTTTAAACAGAGCTTGTTTAATAGCTATAAGATACGTAATATAAGAGAATTAAAGTAGTTCTTAGGTATTAGGGTAACTAGAGACAGATCTACTAGAAGATTATAGCTTAGTTAAGACTCTTATATTAAGTTAATTACTTTAACCTTTTACCTAAAAGACAGGAAAGCACCTTTTATACTACTAGAAAGTATGCCGCTTGTCTTAAATATAAGACAGGCTTTCCCTTAAGAGATCTATAGCTACTAACGTAAGGTAAGATCTATTCTCTATACTATAGTTATTACTAGGCTAGACGCTATTAGATTAGCTAATAAACTGTCTAAGTTCTTTACTAACCTATCTTAAGAGTACTAAAGAGTAGTAGATAGAGTAATCTAATATCTTTATAAAACCTAATACTTAAGGATCTAATTTAGAGGTAGTAATAGAGGCTCTAAAGCTTTTACTTACGCTAGTAATATAGTATATACTAATAATCTAGAGACTTATAAGAGTACTAAAGGATATATGTTCTACTTGTTTAGAGGACTTATTAACTAGAAATTAACTAAACAAAAGACAGTTACTACATTAAGTATAGAGGCTAAGTTATTAGCTCTCTCTTATACTATAAAGGATCTCTACTAGTAACGACGCTTCTTTACTAAGATTACTCTAGAACTATATAAAGAGTTCGTAATTAACGTAGATAACGCCTAAACTATCTGCCTTATATAATTAGGAACTCTACGCCTAGTTACTAAGCTTAAGTATATAGATATCTATTAACACTAGCTACGCTAAGAGGTAACTAAAGAGAGACTTAGTCTATAGTAGCTATTAACTTATAACATACTAGTAGATAGGTTAACTAAGGCCTTACTATACTAGAAACATATTAAATTTATTAAATTACTTAATCTAGTAGATATTAAGACCCTAAACCTAAACGACAGCTAGCCTATAGATTAGGGCAGTTAAACACCCTTTATTTAGGTAAGAAACCCTTTTGTTTAACTACTAAATACCTAGAACTAGCTTTTATACTAGTCTAAAGGTAATTCTTACTTAAACGATTAAGCGAGAGTTCTAGGATCTAGTTCTTATCTTAAGCTTAATTTCTTATTTAGAAAGTCTACTTTTTGTACTATATTTCTTATTTAAGAAGTCTACTCTTTTTTCTTAGAGATTTAACTATTTTTATAGTTATATTCTTTAGTTCTATTTATTTTTACTACTTACTTAACCTTATTACTTAACATATCTTACTACTTAAAGTACTTAGAGTACTAAGAGTCCTTAAGGTTCTTTCTTAAGGAGCTTTAGGACTTAAACGTTAAGCCCTTCTTAATTAAGTACCTACTATTACGTACTTTCCTTAATTCTTTAACCTTCTACTTAAGGAGAAAGACGTACTAGTAAGTACTAGTATACCTTTAAGTATAGGAATAGCTTTATTATTACCTGATTAGAAAGAGAGCTAAGGAGAGAGCCGTACTAGTACTTAGCTCTCTAGTTAAGTCTAGAATCGGCTTGATCTCTAAAGGAGTATATTAAATAGTAAGGTTAATTACTACTAGGATACAGAACCTGTTCTCTTAATTACTAACTAACCCTTAATTAATATACAAGGATCGATCCCTTATACCTTATTTAATAGTTTATAGTGTTGTTAGGATTTAGGTACTTAAGTACCTACATACCCTGTTTATAGTAGATATAGTACCTATACATATAAATAACAACCCCTTTTTTAAGTATATAGAACAAGAGACTACTCTCTGTTCTATTTAATTTAGTTTAATTTAATCTACTTCTAACTAACTTAAATTCGCCTGTTATTACCACTTCTTTACAGTGATATATAACCTCTTTTATCTGACAGTACGACATCTGAAGCAACGTCTGAATAGCTTCATCAATCTACAGACTTCACGACGATCAAGGACTGGTAAGCTTACAGACAAGATTGAGAGAGGATCCATCGCATTGTCACATATGCGAAAAGTGCTGTAGCAGGGCCAGCGGACGAAGCAGTGAAGGACTTCGAGATGCGCAAGACAAGAGTGCCAACTGTAGGTGGAGAAAGTTGTGGGAGAGAAAATGCTGATTGAAGTTGGGAGGAATAGAAGGGCCACGCCTCCATTCCGGTCGAATCTGTTCCCCTGATGTTTGCAGCCAACGAGACAAGTCTGGCAATTGAACGCCAATGTGCAGTGCAATAAGTACATTAGTAAATAAACAAACTGAAGACCGAATCAACTATATTCTATCCTGCCCCATATTCGTCGAAATCATATCGCACAGAAAGCACATGCACTCATCATAAAAAAACATTGCAGTCATGAATAATAACCCCGAATAAACCACCTATTCCCGTCACCATCCATCCATATCCTCGCCTAGCATCCTGAACACCACTATCCAATTCCTAAACAACTGCCCCCTATTACCTCCCCACCCACCAATTCAGCACTTTGTAGAAGAAGCAGCCGTGCAATAAACAGAAGTGATAGTCTGCGGCGGACCCAGCATACCATCCGCCTCGACCGGCCCCGCAGCAGGAGAATTAACGCCCGTAAAGACGCAATGGGCGAGGTCATGATCATATGACACGTAAGAAATACTGAGAGAGAAAGGATCATGGGGTGCTAGGTAGACTGTCAGTTCGGAGGAGAGTTTGAGGAGGGAAGTGAGTGATACGAACCAGGGTTGACAGGGGTGTCGAAGGGGACGAAGAGGGTGTATTGCTGCGTAGGGTCGTTGTCGGCGCCGGTGAGCGTCACTTTGACACTTCCCTGGGGAGTTTCGACGGGTGGAATGGGGGCAGCGGATATGAGGCGGAGAGAAATAGCCAGAGCGAGCAGGAGCGTGGAGAAAGTCTGCATTGTGGATAGACTCGATAGGGCTATAGAGGGATTGAAATTATGAATTAAAAGAAGACAAAGTCGGGATTATTAGAGTGGTCGCTATGATTATGAACAAGAACAGAACAGACAAGCAGTAGGAGAACATTTTGATAACTTATATAGAGATTACAGCCATGTTGGAATTCCAGAAATGTAACGGATCTGTGAGGTCTTCAACTTAAGACCACACTACAGCCCTACGGCCATTGCAAGACACATCATATGTATGGACGAGCAAGAGCTTGAAACACACAACAGACGCTGCCTTGGAAACTACAACAAGCCACACTAATAGCTGACAGCTATCCAACTGCTGCAAAATGAATGATATGGCCAATACCGATTTTCCGGAGTTTGTAAGGCCGCCGATAAACCTCATGGCGGTTATTAGCTATGTTGGTAACTTGGTGTGGCTTAACCTACTAAGCCTCGCAAAAGGCTCGCGCAGTTCGCTTGTTGTTGGTTGGGACCTTTGTCAGGCGTCTCGCCGATAAGGCTGCGCTGCCACTCTCCCAACGTGCGTGCCATAAGAATCTTATCTTGCCAGTACAGTAAGACTCGATGTTAGTAATTCCTTTTTCTTTTTTCCGTCGTTCGGCTAAAGAAGGGGTAGTGTATAAACGAATCTCGCTTATTAAATATCAAAAAGCCCTGACCCGGCGTTTAAATTCAATCTCTAAGTTTACATTTCTGGCATCTCTAGACCCTGACGGTTTCTAAAGTTAGGAACTTATCATACTGGAGACTAAGGTATCTGATACTGTGTTATCTAGTCATTTGCTTTACATAATAGGTGCTAGGAAGGACTCAGCGGCAGATTGAACAATTTTAATTGCTTGGACCCAATCTTCAAAAGCTCTGATCGGTCACACTGAAATTGATTCCAACATTGTCCCATGAAGTCTTGAGATATGATACTTATTGCTTAATCTAGTGCTTGTTCTAGTGTGTGTACCTGAAGAAAGGATTCTTCCTGTCCGTCTCATCTGCAAACGCCATTTTGTCCCTTAATTCCTCCTTCTCCTCTTCTGTCATACCTGCCAGTTGGATTTCATTCTGTTTGTTCAGCCGGTCGTTGAACCATCTCAGCACCAGTATCATGAAACATAAGGCACCAAGTGTAGCTACAATGCTGATCTTTCCAGATATGTACCCAGGTGCTTGATAGTCTTGAAAAGTTTGAGTCCCTAGAATATTCCCAAGAGCAAATGAGACAAGTGTTATCGCGTTGACCGTGACTTTCTTCGTGTGGCCGCCGATATTGCTAGGAAATGTTAGCATACATTTATCACGAGCAACAAGAACCGTATACGTACGAAGCGTTCCAAGCCAGCATGAGCATGAAAGCCGCGCCGAAGGTCCCGGTCAAGAAAGAAGCGGCAAGTAAACCCGGCTTGTTCTTGGGCACTCCGTTAGGATCAAGACCAATCATTAGTCCCGCACCAAGGATGGTAGGAAGAGTGCAGATAAGCATAACAGAAGATCTATCATGCCATTTGTCTGAGAGATAGCCAACGAGAAGGACACAAACGACTCCGACCGCACCGGAAGGAGCAGCCAGAATCAGGGCCTCGCGAGACGAGTAACCAAAGGTCGTGAGCAGGATGTTGTTAAAATTGGAGAGTCCTCCGTTGGGGATCGAGCTGAGCAACGTGCAAATGCAGACCAGCCAAACTCTGATGTCTTTGAACGTTTCGAGTACCTGTTATCATAATTCATTAGCTATGCTTTACCTACGGATTAACAATACCGACCTGCTCCTTCTTCAAGTGCGCGTTTTGTGTGCCGCTACGGAGGTTAGCTAGTGCAAAAGGACATTCGGGAGTCTGAAAAAAATACCTCTGGTTGTTCTTAGTTCTCAACAATGCAGCAACCTTTTCAGCATCTGTAAATCTCCTCGCCTTGACAGGGGAGTCTGGCAGAAATATGCAGACCAGTGCCCCAATGCACATTGTAGCGGCTCCGATGGCAACAAAGAAGATACGCCAACTTGCAAATTTACGCAAGAAATCCCCCAACAATAGAAGTCAGGGAATTGCAGACGTAGAACCAGGATACCCGCCGGCCTTGTTCTTCTTTCTTATACCACATCGCAATGACCAAAACAAGAATTGGAGCAACGCAGCTTTCAAAAACCCCGAGGAGAGTGCGGCAAATAGCTAGTCCTGCAAATGATGTACAAGCCGCATGGCAGCATAGGACAATACCCCAGAGGATAATGTTAGTCCCAAGATAAAGACCCAGGCGAGAGATATGCTGAGCAAGATACTGTGTTGGGAATTCAGCGGCAAGAAACCCGATGTAGAACAGCATTGATATATTAGAGTAATCCTATGCCAAAGGTTAGTTGAATTCAATTGCTCTGGATTTTGAAGGGTGAAGATTGGCTTTTCACTGTCACACGTACTTGGCCTTTCAAATGCGTATCTGTTCGCATGCCCATGACAGCAGTGTACGACAAGGTAGTCTTGTCCAAGAACTGGAGGAAGTATACCGCCGCCAAAAGTGGAGCAATGGTGAAGTCGATCTTTCGAATCAATTTCTTCAATTGTACGGGGTCTTCGAGGATGGCGTTGCCCTCAGCAGAAATCTCGGCTGCGCGGGGGTGGTTTGACAGGAATTCCACTGCTTCATCTGCATCTTTCAAACTCAACACCGTCACAGCGCCTTTCTCCGTTGCATTTGATGGCTTCCGAGCGTCGAGACCGGAAAAGGGCTTCTCAGCGCCCTTTTCGACGTCGATTGATCCAGACATTTCCGGTAATCCTAAAGGGCACGAATCTCTCGAAAATCAGGCTTACATGCAGAGAAAGATGTGAGAGTTACAGTCAGATCTTATATTGTTGAAGTCAAAAGAGGTTGACGGAAATCCGATAACATTTGCTATCTACCCATTGCTACTGTAGGTAATTATTGCGATCCAAATGTTGCTCCGTAACGGATGGACTCACCCGTCCAATGGCTACCATGCCGTGGGGAATATACAAGGAGTTTTACCCGGATCGGTAATTCTCACCGTCTGTCATTCAAAGATGGGCATGAAATCGAGATAGTGACACGCGAGTTGATAAGAAAAGGCGGGGTTCAGAGCTTCCTAAACGAGAGTAGAGTGTAGTTTCCCTCCGTATTGAGTCTTGGCTACCTTACCCATTTTGGCCGATATACCCCAGTCCCATCATCTATAACTTGATGTAGTCTGAACGCGGGAAGCACGTGGAAGTATATGTCAAAGTCGAAGCGAACTCGAGTTCATACAAATATCATGACTTTGTGAGAGACAGAATATCTTCCCTGAGGCTCCTAGACTTCTTTGAAATTACATCTTGACTAAGCCAATGTGCCCCTGAAATCTCAAATGGCAGAGACTGTTCAGTGTTCGCTAAGACATATCTACCTGAGTCTCCTCTATAATCATTGAAGATACCTACTTTTAACCCTGAAAGTGCCAAGCTGGAAAGCGCTGCTTCCCAGTCTGGATATCCTGGAACATTATGCTCGTTAATTTCTTAAGAGTATCAAGTGGACATTCAGGAACTCTCGAACAATTTCGTTTCATGTCGTTGTCTCTGTTATCTTATCTTCGGTAATCTGAATTCATCTTATGTAACGCGCGTCTTGGTTTTGCGACGTGCAACAAGAGTGCTGATACACGAGCGCCCCTTGTCGTCGGCTGAAACCTTTTTTCCCAGTGCCTACCTAGTTTTAGCACTAGGTTGTATACAATCAACACGTACCTTGGAAAACAGTTACTGTTTAAATGTCAGCTGTTTAAATAACAGTTTGAACAACACATTGGGAGTGGCTAAACAACAGCTTGAATAACGGATTCAAAGTGACTTAGGTACATAGCACTTAGATAACAGGGCTAATAGCAGCTACCTTACTTAAGGTAAGCGCTTTAAATAGCACTACCTTAAGAAAACAGTATTATAGTACCTGGCTAACAACAGCCTAAATAACACCCTGTATAGCAGTCCTTCATGGCCCATATCAAGTAGCTAGAAATGAAGCTATTCTGAGTCCCCTAGTCCTACAACGCTTCGTCCTCCGCGTCGAAAGACTCGAAAACCTCCCGCCAAGCCGCAGGGTTAAAAGTGCGATATCGCTAGTAATAAATAGGTGACGGTAGCGGCGACGGCGACGGGCGACGGCGATAAGGGGCTCTCTCGATAGGGGAGACTCGATAAGCAAGAAGACATTTTAAGTAACAGGAGTTGTGATATGGAACGACAGCGAGGTATGTATGCGACGGCGAGGTTCAACAACAAGATGTCGAACTGTAGCAAGCAACGGTACCTGGATTACAGTACGGAATACAAGCGAGATAAGGTACTACTACTGCTGACCGCCTACATTGACGGCGGGCGCTCCTGTATCACGACTCTGCAACAGAGAGCTGTCGCGCGCGGCCCGCGCCGCTGAGAAGCGCGATTCTTTTCCTGCGCGGGGCATTTTCATCTGGTTCTGGTCTCCAATTATCCCTTCGTCTTCGCCTCGCAATATGTCAGTATCGCGTGTATCGAAGGGGTCAGGTACCTATAGCTAGGGACCTAAGGCGTCCGGTCACCTTTCTACCTCTCTTCTCTACTTCCTTCCAAGATCCTTCCTATCTCTAAAAGACACTTATAGCAAGTTACGGGTCGCGCTGCCATCGATTTTACTTGGAAATCTTACATCGAGACTTGTACTCACGATCTCTGAAGTCTGCGTGCAGGAAAACCGAATGTGTTCGAAGTAATGAAATTGATGCCAAGAGGGGAGGAGATAGCTGATTTAGACTTTGAGAGAACTTGGAAGTGGGAATTCAATTCTCTCAAGTAGTAGGGGGTTGGAGTCAAAGGCTCTATTGTAATTAGCCAGCATCATTCCATGTTCAATAAGGTAGTCAGATGAGGACAATGAATTGCTAGTCTAGAAGTACCTGGCGTGCTGTGTGGTTGCACTTGGTTGGATTTGGATGTCCGCGCATAGGTAGGTGGGTTGTTGACAATGCGTTGGATTGATACTGTGCCTTCTTCAGTCTCCTGACGGTTTCTGATGTAAATAGACTAAAAGAAAAGAAACAGAGTTAGTGGTCAGGAGAAATATCAGGCATCTTGCTCTTCTGTCAGCAATTGTTCATGATTATCTCACTTGAGGCTTGGAGCCTTGGAGGGCCTGGAGTCAAGGAATCCTCTGGCTAGAGCTCCTTTCCACAATCATCTTATTCATGGAAGAAGTACCTTGCAAAGAACCTCCTGAATACACTTATTCCAAGTAGTGGCCATAGTAGATATGCTGTCTCCAAGTCGCTACCCCGTAACGGTAACATACGTTGCTTCGATGTCAAAGTATAGAAAGGCACTAGAAGAGCCTGTAAGGAAGGATCTGTAGATTCAGCAACCACCTAATATAACGGAGAGTCGCCAGCTTCAATTGAAGACACTATCAAACTTTATGATCAGCCACCAAAGATTCCATACGACTCCATATGCACCAAACGAACCATTCTCCAATTCCCTGGGACAACATCTCATTACCCAAATCCCATATATAGAACTTCACTTCACGCATCTATTCGCCCCACTTCTTAGCCACAACTCCATCCGGGGGCTTCGTCTCAACGGGTCCCTTCTTCACCTCCTCCCAATTCGTGCTGAGAGCTGTACCATTGCTCTCCTGGTAGCTTTTCATCATCGCACGCTTAGTATCCGGGTCCGCATTCTTGTATAGTTTCATGAAGAAGTCATTCATTGGATCTCCTTCAAAATCGTCGTCGTCCCCTAAAGATCCACCTTCCTTGTCTGATTTCAACGCTGCGGAGGCGACACTATCCCAGTTCTTGGGTCCAGTGCGAGAGGAGGTTGGATATGCCGGCGATTTCGCTGGTTCGGGCTTGGGAATGGCATCTGGGACTGTGGTATTGGTGCTGGCGGTAGTTGCGGAGGAAGTAACGGGTTCAGTGCCTTCGAGAGTGGCCCATTTGAGGCCAGGAACCGCTTTTTGTAGACTAATTTCGATTTTGTGGGGGGTAATCCGGAATGTGCTGGAGGTGGGGTCGATGCGAGAGAAAAGAGGTGTAACGGTGTAGTCATATGTGCCTGACTGTCCGACAGGGAAGCGGACCTCAAGCTGGGAATCGTTAGCCCGGGGTCAAAGAGAGGGGATTAGAAACTCACGCTTCCTTCTTCGATATTGATCTCAGCTTGCTCCTTCGGAACGCCCTTTGCGAAAATGGTGATTGTGACCGTTGAGCCGGATTGGAACCACTCATGTCTGATTTTCTCTTTTGGGGTTTGAGACGTGGAGATCGGAGCTGAGGCAGGTGCAGCATCTGCAACAGGCGTCTTCTGTTTTTCCTCTTTCTTCTGCTCTCCCTCAATATCCTTGACGGGGTCGGGTGTCTCCTTCACCGTGCACTGAATCTGGTCTGACAAGCCCTCCTTCTCAGCGGTCTCGTAATCACTTGCGACCTTGGCCTGCCAGAGGCCCAACCCCTTCTCCTTCTCGTTGTATTTGCGACACCAAGTAAGGCACAGTCTTGCATCGCCGAATCGCTTCAAGCCATGCAATGCGATCGCACGCCTAAACTGCGCTGTCGCGATCAGCTCACGCCGACCCCGTTGCTGGGCTGCAAGGACGGCGTTATCAGCGTCTGCGAGAGCGAGCTCATGCTTTCCGAGTCGTTGATATGCGGTCGAGCGTTGGATAAGCCACAGGGGACTCTGTGAGGTTCTAATTGCCGCGGTGAGCTGGGTGATAGCCTCATCGTAGTTGCCATTGGCAAGCGCCTGCTGGCCTTTGGACGCCTGAGTTGTCATTACAACCGTTGGATTAGATTTTGATGACAGTATCTGTAGGGACAAAAGAGGTGAGGGAAGGTGGACAAACCACTGGCCCTTGTACCTTGTGCCTTGTGCCTCGTGGTTGTTTGCTTTCGAGATTAGATTGAACAAACAGCAGGCGAAGGCGAAGTGCGAACGTTCGAGAAGCTCAGCCTTGCGGACCCAGTTAATCGTCGGCTCGCTTGTGTGCGGCCTCTAGCGACGTCCGAGTCCTTTTCCGGCTACGTGCTCAGGGGGGTATCGAAATTCCAGCAAAAGCTAGGGAATGGTTGTCTGCCCAAAGTCCATCCAGAAGTAAACACTTTATTGATCAATTCAAGATCTATCTTATAGCCACCATTTCCCCCAATCTCGCTACACCTCATCATGCGAAACACTGAAATCGATCTTCCAATCCTCCCCGATCTTCACGCCCGGTTTCTTGACCGTTGCCCAGGCCGCCTTCCCCCCCTCCGCAGCATGATACTCAAGTTCTTCTCCCCCCTTGAGACTCGATTTCCCGGTCCAAGAAGCCGGCGCTCCAACAATGATGATCCTCTCCACGACCACATCTTTCATGCTCTTAAGATATTTGTCCGTCAGCTTGCCCTTTGTGCCAATATTCTTGCTCTCAAGGATGTCGTTTGAGTACTGGAAGACGCGGTGGATATAAGCACCTTGCTCATACTCAAATGAGTCGCCATCGTCGACATACAGCTCGCCTTTGGCTGTCCCGTCTTTGCCTAAAACAATGACTAGTGTATAAGGATCAAATTTCATCAGTCCGCTGCTGCGTCTTGGCCTATCCTTTCTCGGGAAAATATGACCTCCTTGCATCAACAAGGGAATCTTATCCAATGGTGCGGACATGGTGTGTTTGCCTTGCCCACTGTATGGTGTGTAGTCAAAGTAATCATAGTAGAGCTCATCATCAGGGATGTAAATTTCGACGCTGTCAGCACCTTGGGTGACGACAGGGTGGGCGAGGAGGCCGGTAGAGCCGATAAAGAATTGGTCATCAATGGCAAAGCCTTGCTCATCAGATGGGTATTCGAAATAATGAGGTCTGATGATAGGAGTCCCGTCCACGCTCGCTTCGTGGAAAGCTGTGTACCAAGAAGGTAACAAAGAGTATCGCAGTCTGAGGGCGCGGGTAATAATCCCAGTATACGGTTCGCCAGCAAGGTAGGGTTCACGGCGACGCGTATCGATGTGGGCATGTCCACGGAAGAAGGGGTAGAATGCCCCTGCTTGGTACCAGCGTGTCAAGAGGTCTTTCTCTGGATTACCAAAGAAGCCTCCTACGTCCGCACCCGCGAAGGGGAAGCCTGCAATTCCATTGTTGAGAATCATTGGGAATGCCGCAGCAAGGTGGTCCCAATTTGCTTGGTTGTCACCTGTCCACATAGCACCCAGGCGTTGGGAACCGGCGTAAAAGGAACGGGTTAGAATGAAGGGACGGCGGAGTTCGCCCTTCTTACGGGAGAGGAGTGCTTGATACGTTGCGTTGTGAAAGGTCAGTCCGTTGAGATTGTGTACATCTCTGTGTTCCCAGTTGCCGTGGTGGAGATTGTCCTTCGGCATGGTGGTTTCGGGTCCATTGAAGACGGACGGCTCGTTCATGTCATTCCAAATGAAGAGGTTTTCTGCGGATCCCTTGAACGCAGAGTATGGGAAGAGTGTTTTCCACCAGCTTATGGCGGCAGGATTGAAGCAATCAACCCAGTAAGAGGAACCGGGCCAACACCATCCTTCGTAGGGTTTTCCTTCCTTGTTATGAACGGCGAGGTCTTTCTTGGTCATTTCGTCAACTACGTGGTATCCATCCTTCTTCTTGATATGGGGATCAATAATAGCCACGAGCTTGCGATCAGACTGGTCAAGTTGCTTGAGCATTCCGATGGGGTCGGGGAAGGTAAGAGGATCCCATGTGAAATACTTCCTGTCATCAGTATATTCGATGTCCAGCCATATCACATCGTACGGGATCTGGTATTTGGTCATTTTTCGATCGACGTCCTTGACGTCCTCATCAGTGATGTAGTTCCAGCGACATTGATGATAGGCGATGGCGAACTCTTGAGGTAATTGAGAGTAACCGGTAAGTTCTCCGTAGGCTTTGGTTACATCCTTCGGCGTGGGTCCGAGGAAGACAAAGACGTCAATCAAGCCACTCTCGGAGATCCAGTGAGTTTTGGTATCGATCTTGGATCCAATTCCGAGACTCAATGGGTTGTGAGATTCTTTCTCCTTGATGATATCGATCCAGGTTTCCGCAGCATTCAACCAGAATACCCCGACGGTTGAATCCTTCTTATGAGCCTGCATGAAGGGAATCGCGCCATAAAGAGTCATCGGACTGTCCATGATATACTCGAAGACATCAGCATTGTACAGTCGATAAGGATCAGTGTGGTGTCCACTTCCACCACGCGTCTCCTTCAACGACAGTGGCCCAGCATGTTCTGGAATACCATAAACGTGGTCGTATCCAGGGAAGGTAATGTCAAGCGCAACACTCTCGGGACCTCTCGGTTTTGAATCGGTGGCACCGCCAAATGATTCATCCCACCATGTGCTCTCATCCTCCCCTTGCTGAACTTGGACAGGTGTCTCCTCTCCCTCCTTGGGTTCTGCCTTTTCAACTTTTGGTCGCCAGTGCTCCATGTTTAACAAGCCCCGGTCATTCAACTTGACATGCGTAGCATCACCTCGCTTGAAATCAATACCAAACGGAGCGAACGTAACAACTGCCTCGAACTGTCCATCCGGCCCGTATTTCACAATGCTCTTCGTTGCATCTCTCTCCTCCTTCGCGGTAGTACTCAAATCAAGACCTCCAACAATGGCCCAGGACTCGGCCTCATTGTAGCGCTCCTTTCTTGCTATACTGTTGTGCCTAAGCTCAATCTCCCCTTTCTGTCTCTTCTCCTCATCAATCACCACCCTTGCGGATCCCGACGCCAGAAACGAGATGGTGAGCGGTAGCCTGACCGTCTCACCTGCCGCATCTATCGTCTTGAGGATAACTCCCTGCAGTTGGCCATTCTTCCAGCTCAGGGACTCGGGGGCTATTTGATAAGGGGACTCGAAGCTAGAGCCGAGCTGTCCTGCACGGTCGGCATATGCGCGATTGCGTTTGCAAAATCCAGATTGGTCGCAGGTCTTGAAGTTTTCATACTTAACAGAGACTATGGTTGTCAGCAGAGCTATGCAAAGAGGAGGGAGCTGTTTACCTGCGGGAGTAAACAGAGAACATAATACAGAGAGGAGAACAAAACACGCCGTCCATTGCGCGGACGGCAAAAGAGACAGACGCATTGTAGATGCACCACGCTAGAAAGACGGAGATATGGACATTCGTAGTGTTGTCGTCCAGCAATTGCTCCAGGACGTGGGATGTTCTGTCTCTCCTCCTGGTAAGCTGTCCTCTTGCTTCACCCGCAAGAGCCAATCGCGCATCGTCATAAGTCACGCCTGAATCCCCAGGCCACAAGGCTGCCAGGAGACATCACGGCTAAGCGCCCTCTCGAAGCCGAGCCAACCCCACTACAGCCCCACCAACAGCGCTGTCTTCAAAATCGAGAAATCCTAAATGAGCGGCCAACAACCTCAAAAAGATCCTCCCGTCTACAAACATTTGAGCCCCAAGACTCAAGCTTTTCTCCGAGCATCCGCATCCCACAGAGCCGAAGCCGCAAGACTCAACACCGACACCATGACTACCGAACAGACGTATGTCAATACTGAGATTCCCCGTCCAGCTTCATCGATGAAGAGACTGGCGGTGTACTAATTTAGTTGACAGCTTCATTGCCATCAAGCCCGATGGTGTCCAGGTATGTGGCCATATCAGCAGTTGTTGGCAGAGAATAGGATACTGATTCAGTCTACAGCGTGGACTCGTCGGTCCCATCATCTCCCGCTTCGAGGCCCGCGGGTGAGTTGACGATCAACATGACCATCGCCTTGGGGTTCTGCTGACCAGAGAATAGCTTCAAGCTTGCTGCCATCAAGCTTGTGACCCCTTCCAAGGAGCACCTTGAGGCTCACTGTACGTATTATCCATTACCCCGCCCGCCGGTGTGCAATCGCTAACAAGATTCAGACGCCGATCTGTCCTCCAAGCCCTTCTTCCCCGGACTCATCAAGTGTATGCACCTAGCCTCCTACCCGCCGACTGCGAGATACTAACAGGAACCAGACATGAGCAGCGGACCCATCTGCGCTATGGTTTGGGAGGGCCGTGATGCTGTCAAGACCGGTCGCAGTACGTCCCCCACCCTCTTCTTCTCCAACCCCCACAACACCACTTCTAACCATCTCGAACAGCTCTCCTCGGTGCCACCAACCCTCTGGCTTCCGCCCCTGGCACAATCAGAGGCGATTTCGCCTTGGACGTCGGAAGAAACGTCTGCCACGGCAGCGACAGCGTCGAGAACGCCAAGAAGGAGATTGCTCTCTGGTTCAAGGAGGGTGAGGTTATCTCATGGAAGAGCGCCCAGCACGACTGGATCTACGAATAAATGTCTCTTCTTCACTGAAGAGATCGTGCTTGCTTGCTAGCACACGTCGAATTAGACATTTGAGGTAGATAGTGGTTGCCCAAAAGCCTGTCGGGAAGACTTGAAGAAAGCTTTCTAAAAATATGGGTGTGTTGAATGTCTTGCCTGAGATATGTGAGGATATCAGGGAGGTTTTGGTCCATGCCCAGCTTCCTTTGCCAGCGTTGCACCTTTCCTGGCCGCAGCAGATTTCCCGGAACCAAGGACTCTCCCCACAAACACTCTTGCAAACCACGGCGTAGCCCAAACACTTACTATAATCCTGAGCGGCAACAGGATCTTCGTAATCGCATATGCCGTCGCAACCTCGACCAGTATTCTGCTTCCCTTCTCCCCCACATGCCACCTCTTTTCCACCTGCCCCATTTCCCCAGCTATCCTGCCCTCTCCAGTATCCGCGGTATGGGCAACATCACCCAGATTCTCGACTGGTTCCTTGCTGAAGCCGAACCATCCCTTTCTCGCAAAGTACCTGCCGAACTTCGACACGCCTTCCGAGACATACGAGCCCTCTTCCAAGAACTACATCCATTCCATTCCATCAGCACCAATCCAGACACGGAGCAAACCCAATTTACTCAAAAAGACGAGAGAAACCTACCGAAGGCAGCCATCCACTCCAATGAAACAGCGCCGCTAGGCCTAACAACGGCCCTATCGCCGTAATCTCATGGAGCACCAGAAAGGCTACGAGATTCGACAGCGGCGCATCGCGCAGGCTCTCTGTATACGGGCGCAGGAAGCGCGGGAGCCGGTTCAGCACGCGATCGAATCGCGCTTTTGTGCTGGAGGAGGCCCGGAATTGGAAGCGCGCTTGCCGCGTGCGAAGAGTGTGCGGGCGCGTTGTCGTTGCGAAGGATAATAGATTGAGGGGATGCGGTCGCGGACGCATCACTATTGAGATACCAGCCAGCCAGCCAGCTGGGTGGTGAGGGAGTGTGTGGCTAGGATGGAGTTGGAGAAGGGGAGGTGGGTTGGCGTGACTGACGCGTACATACCTGGTTTACGCGAAGTGCTCGTCTCGGCTCATCACTTTCCACCTCCTTTTTTGCATGGCGGGATCATGGCGAAGTAAGTTGAATATTCTGATGATTCTGATTCATTATTCTAAGGATTGCGGGGAAGAGATTTTGTCACTTGTGGTTTTCCATTTCCGTATGAAACCGAGGAATGATTCATAATTCATGATATACATGTGCTGTTTCTTGCTATTTCGAAAATCGAGAGTGTTGTCCGCCCTGCTTTCTCTACGAGGTCTACAATTGGAAAAGCAACGATTCCAAGCATAACTGTCAAGTCTTTTGATATCCGGTTTGAAATTGATCTCTGGACCAATATCAATTTTCCCGAATTCCATTATTATTATCGTTCCTTGTATCCTTTACGCCTCATTACCCTATTTTGCCAGAGCGCCCCTTAACTCCAAACATCGTCACTAGCAGTCCCAGAACATACCTCTCTAAATCTTTCTCCTCTTGACCCTTATCATCCCCTCAGAAGGTGGCATCAAAGCTTCCGCTATCCAAGTGTTCTCCGGCCTCTTCTCCTTGTATTCCTCTGGAAGTTCCAGATCGTAATTCGTCAACAGGTACGCAACCATCATCTTCAGTTCGAAATCCAACAGGAACCTTCCGGGACACGCATGTTTCCCGTGGCCGAAGGGCAGGAACTGACTGCCTGTCGATACAAAGCTGAGATTGGCCAGACCATCTTCCCTCATCCGGGAGAAGCGAAAGGGGTCGAAGCGCAGAGGGTCCTTGTAGATACCCTCGTCGCACTGAGCGGGATGTGTGAGTAGAGAAACCATCGCTCCCTTGGGCAAGAGGATGCCGTCTTCGGTCGTCAAATCATCGACCATGACTTTACGCATGATGGCCCGGTTGCCGAATGAATATAATCGCAGTGTTTCTCTGCATACGCTATCCGTTCGTATCATACTTGCTATTCCCGCTTTAGTCCAAATTCCTCCTTGTTCTTCTAGAACTCTCTTGATCTCGTCCCTTAGAATGGAAATGGTATTGAATTCCGGGTCGCTCGCCACGATATTGAAGATGAGGTTCGTGGCCGCGATACTTGTTTGATGGAAAGACCCGAGATTCGACATACTTAGGCGGGCTGTCATGTCGTGTAGGTTTAGCTCTTCTGGGCGGTTGACCTGTGCATAGCGGATCATCATCTGTAGATGGTCTTGCGGTTCGTCAGGAGACTTTGGGGTGTTAGAATAAGCTTCCATACGTGCTTCTAATAGGGGTTGGAAATCCTTCGCCATGCGACGGAGATTGATGCGTTGGAATTGGAACATCAACGGGCCCAGAAGAGGACGTAGGAATTTGGGGCAAGCCCCTATGGTGCCGGCGGTAATGAAGAACTGATCAGTGAAGTTAATGCAGTTCTTCAGATAGGATTCTTTACGGCCTGCGTCTCTCATCAGCACTTCTTACTACTCGTAACATGAAGAAGATGACAGCGAAAACTCACAAAGCGGTAAGCCAACAGTAAATCTCGAACTGCACTGCGCAACAATCATCTTCATCGTCTCCAGCACCTTAACATCCCTCCACTCCTCCTGCACACCAAACCACCGATCAAAAGCAACCCCCACCTCCTCAGCCAACCCCACCATCAGACTCTCCAACACCGCGTTCATCTCCCTCTTAACCAGCCATCCCGGCCACAAATCCAACACAAACTTCTCGTGGCCCACATTGTACCGCACCTGATCGAGCTCCTCAAACGCCGCGACAACATTCAGCACCTGATCCGGCTGCGTCGTCGCCCACTTGAGCGCGCTCGCCGGGAGGATCACCTCGTCACGGAACCCGAGGCCGGGAACCAGACACGTCTTGCCATGCTTGGAATACCGCTCCCACGCGGTGCGGAACAGCGACTGGCAGTCGGTGTAGTACCGTAGGCGCGTCCGCAGGCGGAAGCGCCATCTGCCCTCGTCACAGACGCGCGGCAGGTTACGGGGGTAATGGATCGTAAAGTACTGGCGTAGGATGAAGGCGATGGGGATGAGCAGGGCAAGGAGGAGGACCCCCATGGGGCTCATGTTATGATGTTGGAGAGGATAGCAGGCAGCCCGGACATCCTTATTAAGCTACGCAGAAACTGGTCCCAAGGAATCTTGCGGCGGTCCCGGGACCGTTGTAACTTGTAGCCTTGTAGGACCGATGCTTTTTTATGGCCGAAAGTTTAATATACCTGGTACCTGCACTGGTATCAGATAGTTTAACGTACCCTACGCACCGCTGTTTTAAGTCGACCAATAAGAGCGTCAGGATTCAGGGGCGTTAGCCAGTGCCTATAGGTACTGTCTATAGCGCACACTCTTACTATTACTGTCGCTATCGCTATCGCTATCGCTGTCACTGTTACTGTCGTTGTCACTGTTACTGTCGTTGTCACTGTTACTGTCGTTGTCACTGTTACTGTCGTTGTCACTGTTACTGTCGCTGTCGCTATTACTATTACTATTACTGTCGCTATTGTCCTTCTTGTCGTTAACTAACCTCGTTATTACTTACCGCCAAATGAGAGTGTGGCGATAGATGCACGCTCTGGGTTACTCCAGCTGTTGATCTGCCCCGTCAGACCAGTAAGAGGGTTAGCAATCTGTAGGAAAATCAATCTGTACGAAAAGATCTAGACAGATTGAGAAGGTCGAGTAATGCGCACAAAGGCACAGATGTGCAATGTGACAATCAGACGCATTTCTAACGAGAGAAGGAAATCTTTTATGTATTATTTAGGTACCTTAGGTACATTACCTATAGGCTATCGCTTAGCCTCAAACCCCCATCTTGACAGTGGTCCCACTTGCCGTCAAGCACTTCGAAATATCGGATAGGCTACTACTGATACTACTGTCCTTGCTCATCTGCTACACCTGCTCATCAGAGCTCGTACGCTTGACCGAGCTGACAGCCCCTCTAGAAGATGCAGTCAAGCAATGCAAGCACTTGGGCACAAAAGCTTTGTACAACGAAGGCAGACGTTACGGCTAGGCATCTACTCTCTTAAGATAGGCTCCTATGTGCAGACGTAGGGCGGATGGTAAGAGGACCCTTAATAGACGTTAATATGTAAATAGAGACTTAAGGCACTTTGTACAAGCCGGCTTTATGTAAATGTATTACTTCGTTCGTTTACTGTAAGATTCTTATAACCGAGTCATTTAAATGCCCGAGTCGAGCCAGAGTGAGGTTTGGGAACTAGGGAAGTAGAGAATTTTGAGAATATAGATCATAATGATTAAATCGGCACAGATTCACATTCATGATTGGACATGCTATTACATTTTCTTTAGTTCCATCCGCTCGTTAGATATGAGTTTACGTTTCATGGCAAAGAGAGGAATAGCTCTTTCATCTTTGGGTAGTTGGGCGTGCCCAGACCGGTTGCGGGGTCCCATCTGTGGAAGCGTTAGTTTGATTCTCTCCCCTTTTAAATATAATCCGGTAAAGGTCCTAGTAAGTGGGTTCGTGATACGTTATGAGTGCCAGAATGTTTTGGCAATTCAAGACTTCTCTTGATCAGGGATATGGAGAGATTGGAGCAAAACTTACCCAGGAGCAGCATGGAATCCTTCACTTCCACATCCGACATTGGTACCATTCGTGACATCGTTGAGGACCCAAGGGAAGGCGTAAAAGACCGGATTGACAAAACCAATTGGACCCTTTCCAATAGCGAATCGTTCTTCATTAAGCTACATGATCTCAGGTCAGCTACAGCTATTGCGATTGATGTTGGATGCAGTCAGGAAATCAAAAGATAAACGTACCAAAGTCAGGACCGAAGCAAATAAAGGCGAAGCCAAACTGGTTCCGTACCAGAAATAGTCGTCACCATCGGTGAAGGCGCGGAAATTTGCTCCATTGGCGGAGATATCAGGGAAGCCTCTTCCAATTCTGTTGTATAGACCAGTGGTGGTGTTGAAATCGACGTTGAATTCCGAGTAGTATGGATATTTGAGATCCGCGATTTCAAAGTACCGTTCCACTGCAGCTTTTTGATACCAAGGTTGGGGGAAATAGTTAGAGAATCCTCCTGCGGACGAGAAGTTGGAAGCGGAGCCGCCTAGGTTCACGTGCATGACGCTCTCTGGCGAATAGACAGTTTGGTTGGGGTAGAGCATGGTGCCGCCGACAGAGGTGATGTAGGGGCAGTTTCCAGGATATTGCGGGTTGAATATCTTGCCTTCGGGACCAAGACAGCCATTAGCAGAAGCGCCCTCATCACCTGGGAAGGAGGCAACTCCATAATCTCCAGAGGCAGTCAAGATTGAATGGCCCTGGAGACCCAGCTTCATGAACTCGTTGCATTGGCGCATGGTGTAGTTGAGAGGCAGGTCAGCTTCAGCTTGGCCATACGAGGCACTGATAACATTAGTTGGTTTGTAGATACCGCATTGGAGCTTGCCTGTACAAGTGTAAGTCAATGAAAAATAATATCAAGTGCGGAATTACCTTGATATCCCCCTGGCTGAGGATTAGGATATACTGGGTCAATGGATGGGTCGTCTCCGGTCTCGCCAAAAGTAGTGTAGTTGCAGTACGACTTGGAAATGTTAGTTTTATACAATGGCTATTATGGGAAGGCATACTCCATCGAGGGCATCAAGAAAAGTGTTGAAAAGATTAGTAGTTGCAACTTCTTCTGGCTCATAAATTTGGTCGTCGACCTGGTAAAGTGTAACGGTCTGAGGATAGATCAGAGAGTAGCTACCACATGTTAGCATTTACCCCCGGTAAGAACTTTCTTCTCAACGTACGCCATATCAATGTCAATGTCAGCTTCACCCCCATTCCAAGGGCTGTATGCGGGAACGGAATAGTTCGCTCCGTCAATATTTGCTGGAATGGGGTAGGTGCCTTGAGGAACGTATGGGGCATATTTGGCATAGAACAGATCAAGATCGGATTTGGCAAAATAGTCACCTTGCTCGTAAAGGCCTAAAGAGTTGCCCGGCGTTGCTTTGGTGGCATTGGGGATCTGGTACAAAGCCTTGATGCATGGAGGAGTGATGTTTCTACCGCAGTCTTGCAGCTCAGCAGGAAGTTGACCAGCTCCCGGCGGCTTCCAGCCCCAAGGAAACCCGTTAAATGCTGGAGAGTTGGAGGAAAGACGATTCGGCTTTTTTGCCTGATGTGGGATTGATCGTTTCCTTTGCACAGTCCTCTTGACAACAGGCGTGAGTTTGATTCCAGGAGTGATGTAGTCAATGTGTGGCACCAGGTGCTCCGGGACGTGGTATCTAGCAAATATTAGCGTAGTTCGCATGAGAAAATGCGAGCCTTTACTTGTCAGATCCCACGCGCACTTTGGGACTGTGCTTGTGTTCGTGTTCATAGAACTCCGTGAGTAGCAGACTCTCGGCTTCCTCGGCTGATGCATCGAATGCAATCCAGCCCTTGTTGTCAGAATGCACAATGCGCGAATCGTGGATACCAAAGGAGATGAGCCATTCTTTGACTGCCTTGACAGCATTTTCGGGAGGTGCAAACATGTTGTGCACATCTTCGGCGGACCAATATTGCCCATATTTGGGGGACGAAGGATCCGAACTGCGGTATCACATCAGCTTTAAAGTTCAGTCGTATTCCTGTACTTCGGAATCCACTCCATTTTCAGCACTCTCCTGATGGTTCTACTCATGAAATATGGTTTGTTGGAGTGGACTATTTAACTATATAGGAGACAGGGAGCTTCGCTTACACTTCCATTAGGAAATCATGACCCTTTTCAAGATTGGTCTGGGTCAAGCCAATGCGTATGGGCAACACCGCGTCCGGATCGATGCGCGCACCTTTGACCCAGTCGGATGCTGGGGCATGGCGCTTTTCGTGCAGGACATGCCTGACGGGTGCTGGAGCGGCATGGGAGAGAGCCGCAATGGCCACAACAGCGAATTGTAGGACGAACATCACGACGTTGACGTTGGCGTTGACAATGTGTCGTACCCGCACTCAATGGCGGGGGAGCAAGTCCCTTTTAAGGATTTTGACCCGTACATCACGTAGTCCAGGGGTTGTAGTTTATCCTTATCACTTGTCCATATTGCGGGCGATCGTCGTTTCTCATTATTCTAATTGGTGGATTCCTGAAGCTGTTCCTGCAGCTTATCTCGAGCAGCCAGGCGGTTGGAAGTGGCTTGCGGGTGAGTAGAGGAATATCTCCGTAATGATGATAGCAACAATATAATTCACACCTTGTCTGTTTACTCGCCGCATGAGTTCTCAGTACCGCGAGTGTTTGTTTACCCGGAAACGAGGGACGTTGTGAACTGCCTTTACAGGTAAAGCGCTGTCTTCAATTGGCCAATCAACCGTAGCTGTGGGAGGCTCTAACCATATCAGGCAAGGATCAAGTAGATACCCGAGGGGCCGAGGGCCCAGATCTCTGCCGTGTGAAATACCCTCAAGGGTCTGTCTGTCTGGTTATCGGTTACTTCACACGAGTGCTGTTCCTCCACACCTTTGAACCCCACGATTGGTATTTTACGTACTTTTAACTTTTGGCACGTTTAGAATCCTTGGCGAAAGCCACGCGAGATCAAGGAATCTGTTGCGCTGTTCTGATATTACCGATGTATAAGGCATATGAATCTTGAAGGACTCGGAACACTGCCTTCTCCTAGAACACCTGGTCTAGCGTCAATACGAGGGGGGCTAGGATAGGAAGGAGGCGTTCCCGTCTGGTTCCTGTAATTGTTCCTAGAATTGTAGTTCCGAATCGTGCCCGTTTTTATGTCCTAAACCCGGTATCGATGATGCTGAGGAAGACCATGTTGCCTCTCCTCTATACCCATCTTCGTCGCTATATACGGAACAAGTCAACCTGCGGAGTTCATGATATTTCTCTGGACATCCTCTCGCTACTTAGAAGAATTTACATACTAAATGATAAGTGTGAATATTAGGTGATCAAAGTACAACTAATAGACCTTAGAATAGTCAGCTACCTTTGTATTAGCTAAGATTAGTATAAATGACACCTACTATTAAGGTACATACTTAAATAGGTATTAAATAGTACAAGATTAAGTATAATTAGGGGGGGGGGGTAGATTAAGGAGTGAGGATAGAGTAGGGGGGGGTGGTTCTAGGCTGCGCAATAGGTCCTTATAGGTTAGGTTTTTATATATACGGCCTAACCTATAGGGATCTAACCTATAAGGTAGGTTTTAGTATATAGTTATGCCCTAACCTATGCCCTAACCTATAGGTTACTAAGAACCTAATACATAATTTAAGCCTTAATAATATTACGTAATAACATAATAATTATAGTTTATACTAATCTTTATACTAATTACTTTATAAGGCGTTATTTAATAAATTATATTTAGGAATTTATAAAAAATATATAATAGAATTATAAGTTATAACTTATAACCTTATTATTACTTTATTTTACATTTAACCTGTTAGGTACACTAACACGTAAGACTATAATAGCTTAGAAATTAAGTACAAGGTAACTACGTACTATAACTAAGGTAATAGTAAGCGTTAAAGAGTATAAGAATAAAGAAAAAGAAGGGAAAAAGAGAGAGGTTTAGAGATTAGTCTATAGTTAAAGTAGTAATATACCTTTAAATATACTATAACTATCTATTAACTCTTACCTCTTTTACTTTATAAAAATATACCTAATATTTTAATCTCTTACCTTTACTAAAAGGTTATAGACTATTAGAGTAAGAAGTAATAATATAGATATAATAAATAAACCTTAATAAGACATAAGCCTCTTCTTAAGTAACTCTTTAAAATACTTCTTTATAAGTAAATAGTAGTAAACTTAGTATAACGCTCTAAATATTAATAGAAATCCTTTTCTTAAGTAAGACTAAGTTAAATAAGAGGATTACTTAAGTAAAGGTAAAGTAGTACCTTAAGTAAAAGTAAGACTACCTTATAATACTTAAAAAGAAAGAGGCTTTCTTAATAAACTTATACGAATTTAATAACCTTTTTAAAGTAAAATAGCCTTTCTAGTAAACTTATATTAAAGAAATAAGAAAGAGCTATTATAATACTTTTTTTATTCTACTAAAAAACAAGATATATACTAGTATTATAACCTTTTTATTTAACTAGAAAATAAAGTTTAATACTTATCTAAAGAGTTATTTAATAGATACTAAACGTATTAGCGCTATAGTAGTAGTACTAAAGGATTATATTAAAGAGTACTAAAAGTCTTTTATTTTCTTAAAAAAAGGTAGATTAGTTCTTAATATAACTTAAAAAGAAATAAAGGTATAGCTTCTTTATAGTATTATAGATAAAGGTACTTACTTTCTTAAAGTAGTATTAAAACTCTAAATATTAACTTAAAACTAAAACAAGACTTTTAAGAATTTTCTTTAATAGTATAACTCTTTAGTTATTAAACTTAGCTACGTCTTCTTAAAGATGTTTTATATCTATCTTTTTATTAATTGTTTAAAGCCTAAGTTAAGGGCTTATATAGTAAGTAGTAGAGTTCTAGATACCTTTAAGGTAGTTAAGGTAGTAGTATTAAGAAAGAAAACTCTTATTTAGATAAGGTAATAAGAAGGCTCTTATAAAGCCTTTTTAATACTATACTATACTAGAAGAGGCTCTTCTTATAATCTAAAGACCTTATCTATACTAGTAAATATATAAGAGATATCTAGTAACTAAACTTTAAATATATAAAGAGACTCTTCTAGTATTATAAAAACCTTTTTAGTAAGTAAGGTATAAGACAACTACTACTAATACTAATAGCCTAGCTATTAAGTAAATTTATACTTACTATATAAGTACTTTATATATAGTTAATCTAAGTATACTTATACTTAGTATCTTAATAAGGCTAGTACTTTAGGCGCTAATACTATACTAGTAGTCTACTATATTACGCCTAAACAATAAGAAAAGAGACGACCCTTAATAAGTATTTAAGTAAAGATATATATTAAGGGTAGCTAAGTAGCTATACTAGCCTTACTAGACTTAAGAGTAGAAGTTAACCTTATCTACTTATAACTATTAAGATAAGAGGTACTATAGTAACTTAATAATTATATTATAGTATCTTTATTATTCTAGAAAACAATAATAAGCTTTAGATTATATAATCTATTTATTAAGGCCTAAGATAACTACTTAATAGTAAAGTAGTATTAAAGTAGATTTATTATTACTAATATTAAGGACTTAGATATTATACTTAGATTTCCTTAGCTAAAGGCTATAGACCTAATTGTTTTATAAAAGACCTAGACATTTATATACCTTATATTATCTTTAATAGTCTAGCTATATATAATAAAGAAAGAAATTAGAAAGGTAATAAAAGAAGCTTAATTTATAATTATAGTAATAGTATAACTAATTATAGTTAACCTAGAATCCTTAAGTAAGAAAGAACTATAAAAAGAACTATAAAAAGATAATAAGGCTATAGTAACCTTACTTAGTAAGTACTAATAATTTATAAACGTCTTTTCTAAAAAAAGGGCTAGATTACTACTTATAATTAATAGCCTTACTTATATAATAGACCTTAAAAGAGATATAGTACTACTATATAGCTAAATTTACTTACTTATAAAGGTTAAGCTAAGTATCTTATATAAATATTTAGATAATACTTTAGTAAAAAGATAGATCTATCTAAGTAAGAGCCTTACTAGTACTTTAATACTATTTATTCTAAAGAAAAAAGAAAAGCTATAACTTTATATTAACTACTATACGTTAAATAGTATAACTAAAAAGAACTAAGCCTTTATTCTATTAATTAAAGAGATCCTAAATTAGCTATTATAAGCCTATGTTTATACTAAGCTTAACTTATATAAAGCGTACTATTAAGTTTGTATTAAGGCTAGTAATAAGTAAAAAATAGCTTTTTAGTACTAATATAGCTACTTTAAATACTATATTATACCCTTTAGGCTAGTAAACGTACTAGCGACCTTCTAGTCCTTTATTAATAAAGTACTAGAGAATCTTATTAATAATATTTATATTATATATCTTAATAATATCCTTATTTACTTTATAAATAAAAAAGAGTATATATAGTATATTTATTATGTCTTTAAACGTCTTTAATAACATAACCTTTATACTAACTTCTTAAAGTACAAGTTTAATATAAAGTAAGTAAGGTTTCTAAAATACGTTATTAACTTATAAAGAGTTTGTATTAAACCTAAGTATGTTTTTATAATCTAAGAATAACTTATTTTTATAACTATAAAGAACATTTGTATCTTCTTAAGGTTTACTAGGTTTTATAAGCGCTTTATTAAGAATTATTTAAAGATTACTATATTACTAACAAATCTCTTTTAAGGTAATGTCGCTAGTACTATTATACTAAGTTCTAAAGCCTTAAAGGCCTTTTATAAGCTACGTCTAGTCTTTATAAAGGCCTCTTTCTTACGTTACTATAACTCTAAACTACTTATATATATAAAAACAAATATATCTGTCTATACTATTAGTACTATCCTTTTATAGCTATAAAAAGACTACTAGTACCTTATTACATTTATTTCTAGAAAGCTAAAGAGGCTAGAGCTACGCTATAATACCCTTAACACTAAGTTAATAGCTATTATTAAGGCTTTTAGGTTATAAAGGCCGTACTTAGTATATATATAAAGTTTAGTATTAGTTTTAATAGATTACCTAAACTACTATTACCTTTTTATAAAGCTAAAGTTATTATAATAGTAAGTTAGATAGCTAAAAGAACTTTCTATCTTTAACTTTAAGATTAAATATAAAGAAAGTAGCTAAAACCTTACTAATAAGTTATTATAATAGCCTAACTTATAAGATCTTAATAAGTAATTAGAGGCGTAATAAGCTCTTTTAGTAACTTTTCTTAATAAATTCTAAGTAAATATAGTTACTTTAAAAGCTATTAGTCTTACTATAAGGCTTGTTTAAAACAAAGCTTTTATTTTTTTTATTCTTTTAATTTCTTTTATTTTTTTAATTTCTTTTATTCTTTTTAAAGGTCTAGTAACTTTCTTAACGTATACTGTCTTAGTAGAATCACTTTAGCATAAGAGGCTAGACTTATACTAGCTAGTAGACTAAGGCGATTATAAGTCTTAGAGACCTTATACTTTTATTACTAGAGTATTAAGTTATAAATTAAATACTCTTATACTAGTAAAGAACTTTACTTAAAGTTAGGCTAGTAAGAGTAATAGCTAAGTAATAGTAACGTTAACGTTACTACTATTACTATTAGAAGCCCTTTATAATATATAGTAAAAAGACGCCTTTATTACTAATAAAGAGTAAAAGAAGTAGTAAAGTAGTTAAGGTACTACTAGGTCCTTATAAACGTTTAAAGATAATATACTACTATAGTATTATAGATATATATATATACCTAATAATCTAGGCTTATATAAAGAGTTACTAAAGCTTTTTTATAACGTACTTACTATAAGGTACTAGAAAGTTAGTAAAACAAAGAAAAGGCTTTCTTAATCCTTTTTTTAGCTAAGTCTTAATAAAGATGTCTACTATTATATTTCTACTTATACTATCTATTAAAGAATAAAGGTAAGGACTTATCTACTATATAGTAAGTTAGCCTTACTCTTTATTCTTTCTAAACCTTAGTAAAAGATCTTACTTAACTTTATTATATAGCTACCTTACTCTTATAATATAGTAAGTAAACTATATAATTTAATACTTATTATTATAGACTAATTTATAAAATTTTCCTTATATATTCTAATAACTAATTGTCTTACTAGTAATAGACTAGTGTCTTTTCTAATATACTACGTTATATAATAATTTAGAATTCTAGATAGTATTATCTTAGACTAAAGCTCTTTCTTTATAAGTAAATTCTAAAGTAGTTTTTACTAGTACTTAGTAATATTATAGCGACTTAGTACTACTTATTACTTATAAATAAACAAGTAAATAAAATAGTAAAACTAAGCTATTAAGTATTACCTTTAAACTTACTATAGCTTTATATAAGACGACTAAGTAACTAAGCTAGATCTTACTAAATTTATATATAATACCTTATAGTACTTTATAATAAACGTAATACTATTATATACACTATATAAGTACTAGCTATAAGGTCTTAAAGACATACTTTTAAACTAGTTAAAGCTAGTAAAGGTACTAGTAGCTAATATATAAGTAGAGTAGCTATAAAGTAGTTATAAAGAAATTATTATATTTCTTTAGTATTTCTAAAAAGAGTATAAGAAATATTATTATTATTATTGTTCTTACTACTTATGTCTACTATATGTAGAACCTTTATACTATATAAATCATATAGTAAAACTATACTAAAGCTAGGTAAAAACCTATGTACTACTACTTACGTTTATACTATTATAGCGCTACTAAGGCGCTAGGTCCTTATTACTACCTTACTAGAACTTAACCTTCTAGCCTAGTAATACTAAACATGTTAACAAGATACTAGTAAGGCGCTAGTAAGGTACTAGCTACTAGCTAAGGCTACTCTTCTTCTTATAACTCCTTTACTAGGTAGCGCTTAGCTAGATAGAACTATAGGAATTAGCTAGTAGATAGTAACTAATAGATTAGTATATAAGCGCTCTTACCTTTCTTTATTACTACTATAAAGTTATAGAACGTCTATAGTACTCTTAGGTAGAGTACTTACTATAAGGCCTACTACTATTAATCTAGCTACTAGTAGTTAAGGACTAAGTAAGCTACTATCTCTAGGGCCTTACTATAAAAGTACTAGAAGGTTACTACCTCTAGTACTTTATACTTAAAAAGAAAAGCCTAGAGTCTAACTTTACTAATATAAATCTATATTAAAAGAGAGCTCTTATACTTATAAAACAGTAAGTACTTCTTAAAGGTATCTACTAAAGAAGTAGGTAGCGTAGCTAGAGTAGTACCTTAGTAGTATACTAGTAAGCTATTGTATTAAGACTATTATACCTTTTAGTTCCCTTATAAAGTCTCTTCTAAAAGAGAGTCCTTATACTAGTCCTTTACTTATATAGCTTAGCCTATCTTATACTTAAGTAACGTATAAGGTAGCGCTATAATAGTACTATAGTAACGTCTCTAGCGTTATTAAAGACAGGTTACTACCTTATTATAAATAGACTATATAAGTTTGCCCTTACTTATATATTTAAGACGTTATTTAAAGTCTATTACTTACTTATTAAGGTAGAGGTTAAGTAAAGGTATAACTGTTTTAGACTTAAGGAACTAGACAAGTGTCGCCTAGTACGCCTTTATAATAACATAAAGACATTATAACTACTTTATAGTAAGGTCTTTTACGATCTCCTTAGCTTACTACCTAGAGAGATAGTACTAGACCCTTACGCTATATACTATAGTACTCTAGATTACCTTTATATAGATCTCTCTTATATATAGTAGGCTATATCCTTATATAAACACAATAAGCCTTATAAGCGTAAACTACTAAGTAGTAAACTTTTATTTAATAGCGTTAAGGTAGCCCTTTTATCTAAGCTTCTAATCTATCTAAACCTCTAGAAAGTACGTCTTTTAGACTAGAGGTATAACCTAGCTATTAAGGTAGACAAGTGTCGTTAGTATAGTATAAGTATAAGTAAGGTAAAAGAGCTTACTCTTTTCTAAGGTAAACTCTATCTCTCTTATACACGACTACTAGCTATATGTCTACTACGTCCTTTTAAAGTACTAGTATATCTCTATTATATCTCTACTAAAAGCTAAGAGGTTAAGGTCGTTAGTAAACCTTACTATAATAAGGCTTATATAACCTTATAGTAGCGTATATAAGCTAGTAGTATAAAGAAGAAAGAGGATAAGAAAGAAAGGTAAACCTTATAGTACCTTTATAGTAACTTCTTAAGGTAGTACTATCTCTTTATTAAAGAAGAGACTAGCTATCTAATTAGTAAGAAAGCTATATACCTACTATACGGCCTATATAAAGAACCTTAAGTACTAAAGAGTATAAAGAAGGCATATATAGTTTACTATATTAAAGGCGCCTTTAATGTTAAGTTAAAAGAAGAACGCTATAGCCTTATAGCTCTACGTTATATACGTAGTATTAACTACTATTTTAACTATAAGGTCTATTAAGTACTATAGCTAGTTTCTTATCTACGTTTTTAAGAAAAGCCTTTACGACTTTATAGTATTAGTAAAGTACTAGCTAATTACTAACTTAATTACTTTACTTATTATATTTAAGAGAGATATTAGCCTATAGGCCTTAGTAGTTTATTACTACTTAAGGGTCTTTTTAGGCTTATATAGTACTACTACTTTTACTACTTTAAATTACGTAAGAAAGTACCTTAGCTAAAGGCTTATAGTCGCTATTACTATAAAGAGCTTAGCTAAGAGACGCTTATATACCTTAAGAAAGCCGGTAAGTAGTAGGTTAAGACCTAACGCCTTTTAAGTACTTGTCTTTTAAAGAACGTTAGTAATATCTACCTTTATTATAGTGTCGTTAATAGTAAACTATTAGTACTACTTGTTCTAAAGGTCTAGAATAACGTTACTAAGATTAGTTATTAATTCTAAAAAAAACTGTTAGCCTAACACTATTACTTTATTATAGTAGCTTATAACTAGTACCTTTCTATTAGCGCGCTAAAGAGGTAAGAGTAAGGCCGGTTCTAAGGGCATATAGCTATAAAGCCTAGCCTACCTCTTAAGACTCTATAGTTTTTATTAGTCCTTTAAGGTAGTAATAAAGACACTATACTAGCTCTTAGTTTTTATCTCTTAGATTATATAGAGTTAATAAGTACTAGCCTACTAGAGGTCGCGCTAGTAGAGCTTAGTTAGGGCGGTAGTATATTAATAACGCGCTACTTATACTTACTAGATAGCCTTAAGGACTTTACTATTCTACTAAGGCTTAGTACGCCCTTAGTTAACCTTCTTCCTTAAGGTAGATATGTCTACGATATATATAAGCTAAGAAGTAAGTAAGTTAACTACTTTATTAACCTTATAAAGTATATCTAGCGGCTTTAAAAGAAGGTAGAGCCTCTTAGCCTTAATTATTACTAGTTCTTAGTCTATTAAGGTCTAGCTTTATTCTAGTACCTCTATAGCTCTCTCTTAGCGATCCCTTACTTAAGTAATAACCTTAATTAGCTAGGTATAGTAGTTAGATCTCTTATACCTTAGGTTACCTTAATAAGTATACTAGAGTGTTACTATAACTTACGTATAGTTAATTATTAAGTCTTGTTTATTATATTACTACTATATTAGCTTTTCTTAAGGTATATATAGTAAGAGCTACTATCTATAGGCTAGATAAAGAAAGGTCTTTAATTTAGGGGTAGTCTTACTAGCTCTGTCTTAAAGTAAGTAATAAAGGTTTATATTACTTATAACGATCTATAGCCTCTTTAGGTCTGTCTTAGTAAGCCGCTAGAGAGGGCTAGCCTAGCTTAAGGAGTTAGGAATTAGTAAGTATATTAACTAAATATTATTATTATTGTTCTTACTGCCTATGTCTACTATATGTAAAACCTTTATACTATATAAATCACGTAGTAAAACCGTACTAAAGCCAGGTAAAAACCTACGTACTACTACTTATGTTTATACTATTATAGTGCTACTAGGGCGCTAGGTCTTTATTACTACCTTACTAGAACTTAACCTTCTAGCCTAGTAATACTAAACATACTAACAAGACACTAGTAAGGTACTAGTAGGGCGCTAGCTACTAGCTAAGGCTACTCTCTCTCTTATAACTCTTTTACTAGGTAGCGCTTAGCTAGACAGAACTATAAGAATCGGCCGGTAGATAGTAGCTAACAGATTAGTATATAAGTACTCTTACCTTTCTTTATTACTATTACAAAGTCGCGGAACGTCTATAGCGCTCTTAGGTAGAGCGCTTACTATAAGGCCTGCCGCTATTAATCTAGCTACTAGTAGTTAAGGACTAGGTAAGCCGCTATCTCTAGGGCCTTACTATAAGGGCACTAGAGAGTTACTACCTCTAATACTCTATACTTAAAAAAGAAAGCCTAAAGTCTAACTTTATTAGTATAGATCTATATTAAAAGAGAGCTCTTATACTTATAGAGAAGTAGGTACTTCTTAAGGGCATCTACTAAGGGAGCAGGTAGCGTAGCTAGGACAGCGCCTTAGTAGTATACTAGTAAGCTGTCGTGTTAAGACTATTATACCTTCTAGTTCCCTTATAAGGTCTCTTTTAGAAAAGAGTCTCTATACTAGTTCTTTACTTATACGGCTTAGCCTACCTTATACTTAAGTAACGTATAAGGTAGCGCTATAGTAGCGCTATAGTAGTGTCTTTAGCGTTATTAAAGATAGGCCGCTACTCTATTATAAATAGACTATATAAGTTCTCTCTTACTTATACGTTTAAGACGTTATTTAAAGTCTACTACTTACTTATTAAGATAAAGGTCAAGTAAGGGCGTAGCTATTTTAGACTTAAAGAACTAGACAGGCGTCGCCTAGTACGCCCTTATAACGACATAAAGGTACTATAACTACTTTATAGTAAGGTCCTTTATAATCTCCTTAGCTCGCTACCTAAAAGGGTAGTACTAGACCCTTACGCTATATACTATAGTACTCTAGATTACCTTTATATAGATCTTCCTTACGCGTAGTAGGCTATATCTTTATATAGACGTAGTAAGCCTTATAAGTATAAACTACTAGGTAGTAAACTTTTGTTTAATAGCGTTAAGGTAGCCCTTTTATCTAAGCTTCTAGTCTAACTAAACTCTTAGAAAGCGCGCCTCTTAGACTAGAGGTATAACCCGGCTATTAAGGTAGACAGGCGTTATTAGTATAGTATAGGTATAAGTAAGGTAAAGGAGCTTACTCTTTTCTAAGGCGAACTCTATCTCTCTTATACGCGACTACTAGCTACATGTCTACTACGCCCCTTTAAGGTACTAGCGTGTCTCTATTATATCTTTACTAAAAGCTAAGAGGTTAAGGTCGTTAGTAAACCCTACTATAATAAGGCCTATATAACCTTATAATAGCGTATATAAGCTAGTAGTATAAAGGAGAAAGAGGATAAGAAAGAAGGGCAAACCTTATAGTACCCTTATAGTAACTTCCTAAGGTAGTACTACCTCCTTATTAAAGAAGAGACTAGCTGTCTAATTAGTAAGGAAGCTATATACCTACTATACAGCCTATATAAGGAACCCTAGGTACTAGAGAGTATAGAGAAGACATATGTAATTTACTATATTAAAGGCGCCTTTAATGTTAAGTTAAAAGAGGGACGCTATAGCCTTATAGCTCTATACTATATACGTAGTATCGACTACTATTTTAACTATAAGGTCTGTTAAGTACTATAGCTAGTTCCTTATCTACGTTTCTAGAAAGAGCCCTTACGACTCTATAGCTTTAGTAAAGTATTAGCTAATTACTAACTTAATTACTTTACTTATCGCGTTTAAGAGTAATATCGGCCTATAGGCCCTAGTAGTTTGTTGTTACTTAAGGGTCTTTCTAGGCTTACGTAGTACTACTACCTTTGCTACTTTAAACTACGCGGGTTTTTTTATAATTACCTTTTAAAGTTTAATTTCTTTAGCTTAAAAGGTTAAAACAACTTAGTAACGTTAATAAAGCTATAATATAAGAGCGTTACCTTAAGAAGAGTTATACTTATAAAAATATACTCTTTCTTTAAATTTTTATAATAAACATACTTTACTAATATAGTTACTATACTATTAGGCTATTACTCTTTACTAAAAAGGAATACTTATAGTTATTATCCTTATACTTTAGTAAGGTACCTTATAAGTCTTATAAAGCTATTTAGTTTAAGTATTACTTATAAGCTACTAAACGCTTTATTAGTACTATATTATCGTTAATAGTTTAATAAAGGTTTATTAAAAGTTTATTAAAAAAGTCGTAAGAAAAAAAAGAAGTATAATAGTATTATATTTATATAAGGTAAAAAAAAGAAAAGAAGGTAATAAACTAGTAAAAACAAGTCTTTATATACCTCTTAGTACTATAAGAAATAGACTAAGTAAAGAAAGACAAAAGAAGTATTTTTTTATATTTACTTAAAAAATATAATTATAAGTAATATAGTTTAATCCTTATAGCTACCTACTATTAGTATACTATTAACCTTTTAGTAAAGAGTAATAAAGGATTTCTAAAAGTAGTAAAAGAGTAAGAAATACTAGTATACCTAAGTAATATAGTTTATATTATATATTAAAGGTCTTATAACTATCTAGTAACTTACTAGTACTTTACTATAATATGTCTTTACTAAAAGTAAATATAAGAGGTATACTAAGTAAAGATCTAAAAGTATAATATATAATAGAAATCTTATAGTTTAGCTATATACCTTTACTATACTATAAAGTTACTACTATTCTCTTTTTCTTAATACTACTAGTTATATAGTTATATAGTTATATATTTACTTACTAATTTATTCTTATATATTTATTCTTGTTTTTAGAGAGGTATTAGCTTACCTTAGCCTCTTTATAATCTAATAGCTACTTATAAGCTTTTAAAGATAAAAGCTAAAAAAAAAAGATATTATATTAGGTATACTAATATATAAAATTATAATAGCTTAGAAATTAAGTATAGAGTAACTACGTACTATAACTAAAGTAATAGTAGGTATTAAGAAGTATAAGAATAAAAAGTAAAGAAAGAAAAGAAAAAGGGTTTAGAGATTAGTCTATAGTTAAAGTAGTAATATACCTTTAAATATACTACAACTATTTATTAACTCTTACCTTTTCTACTCTATAGAAATATACCTAACATACTACTATATAGCTAAATCTACCTACTTATAAAGGTTAAGCTAAGTGTTTTATACAAATATTTAGATAACGCTCTAGTAAAAAGATAGATCTGTCTAAGTAAGAGCCTTACTAGTACTTTAATACTATTTGTTCTAAAGAAAGAAGAAAAGCTATAACTTTATATTAACTACTATATATTAAATAGTATAACTAAAAAGAACTAAGCCCTTATTTTATTAATTAAAAAGATCCTTAATTAGCTATTATAAGCCTGTATCTATACTAAGCTTAACCTACGTAAAGCGTACTATTAAGTTTATATTAAGGCTAGTAATAAGTAGAAAATAGCTTTCTAGTACTAATATAGCTACTTTAAATACTATATTATACCTTTTAGGCTAGTAAATATACTAGCGACCTTCTAGTCCTTTATTAATAAAGTACTAAAGAATCTTATTAATAATATTTGTACTTTACTTATATATTAGAGGAAAATTTTTTACGACAGTCGTCTACGCCTCTTACTACCTTAAAAACTTAAAAACAAACAATAGAATTAAAATCAGTATTTTTAGATACCCTCTAGAGTACTAGTAGACTATAGGTAAGCCTATAGTAACGGATAGTAAGTGTACTAGACTCGAACAGAGCTAACACTACCTACTCGCAAGTAGGAGCTAGTACTCTTACACCCTAACTAAGAGCTATAACAAAGAGCTAGAGAGTAGTAGAGGTAGTAAGGACGATAAGACAGAGAAAATCATATAAAGAATTAAAGCCTACGTAATACTAGGTAAGAAGGATAAGGCGTCGCGCCTCTTTTACGACCTTATCGTAATAACAATAGTAGTAGTAAAGCTAAAGGTAGTAAATATAAAGACCCTTCTACATACTTCTAAGACCCCTTCTAACAACAACCTAGTAACGATTAGGCAATTAAGAACGATATTAAAGGAGGCCTTCTAGAGGCTAATAGTAGCGATAGCCCCTTAGGCTACGTACGCGTTAGTAGTAGGCTAGTACCTAACAAGAGTACAAGTAATACTAGAGAGATAGATTAAGGAGCTAAAGATTAGAGTAGATAGACAGATAGAGGACCTAGTACGTTATAGCGCTATTAAAGTAGTAATAGTAGCTAATATAGCGATTAGAGGCGCTAAAGTAGTAGCGACCTACTAGCTCTTTAGTAGTGACACTATCCTTACCTTTAAGGAGGCTATACTAAAGACCGTGATTTAGGATTAGGGCTAGGTATAGAGGGCGTTTAGGCCTATAGCCTAGCTTTATAAGAGTAAGTTTATAGTAATTATAAAGGGCCTACTAGTAGACTAGGTTATATAAGTAGAATTAAGAGCGCTACTAGTAAAGATCTAAGCCTACGTACTATATATTATAAAGGTTAAAGTTAAGCCTGTTAGGGCCTTTATAGTAAAGTTTATAACAATAGTACTATACCTTTAAAGTACTAATATAGCGACACGCTTATATAAATAAGGGCTAATCTAGTAAGCCTAGATCTTTAACTACAAGCTGTATTTAGCTGACCTATAAATCTAAAGATACTTCTAGTACTACTAGTTTAGCTACATTAAGCGGTTCTATAAGAACCAGGCCTAGTATAGCTACTACGTAAGAGCGGCGTACCCTTAAGGTAAAGAGGAGTACTCTTAACTTAATAGTAGAAAGAGATGCGTTAACTATAGTAGACTATATATAGCGTAAGACTATTAGTGTCTTAAGGCCCTTAAGGTAAAGGAGTAGGTATATACTATATATTAGTAGAGACCTAGATAGTTTAAGGTGTTAAAGAGTAGCTTTACTAGCTAAGTACCTAGTGTTACACTAGTGTCCTTATAAGATAGCGACAACAGCTACTAGGTCGTAGT